AGTGAACCATGGGCCAAAGTAATGTGATGCAAGCCAAATCCCCACTCAATCACGAGGATTCTACTCTCCACCGACACGGGTCGCAACGCACGGCAAACACGTTGCCCCATTACAGGGATTCTTTTAGTCGCCTTTTAAGATACGCACGACATAAGAAGGGTATATTCTTATCACACCCTACACCCCGGCGGTCGGGGTACATGTTAAGAGCGCCAGAAAAGATATACAATAAATGTTCACGTGGACGTACATTGTCGTTGCCCCTGCCCGTCCGTCAACAATTCGGTTATGGACACTCTACAGGTCACAACTTTTATCCGATTTTAACGAAACTCGACACATAGGTCTATCGTTATTGGCATGTAACTTAGTGGATTATGGCCCCTGTTTGTACGAACAATCACGTCTTTAGCTTGCGGATATTCTAGAGGTCACAATTTGTATCCGATTTGATGAAACTGTACATGCATGTTTATAACCCAACGATCTTGGTTCCTTTAGTCCGGTCGCCAAACCTGGGGCCTGTTTCACGAAATTTTAACTAAAGTTAAAATCTAAATTTTAGAAGATACTTCAATTTTGATTGTCTAAGCACTAAAATCAATCTAATATTATCCAATCAAATTACTAAAATTTGGATTGTATCTTAGTTAAAATTTCGTGAAACAAGCCCTTGGAAAGTATATACAAAGTTTTTTTATGATTGATTTTAGTAGCCAATGGTGTCCTCTTTGAGCGTTTTGAGAAATTCAAGATGGCGTCCAAGACGGCCGCCACATCAAATATTCCCCTATAGCTCCCGTAGTATTTATACTAGGATGATAATTTTGGTGTATAACCGTATGTTTCCTGGGTCAAGGAATACACTGAAATCATTTATTATGTTGTGGGGTGATTAGATGATATTAAAACCAAACATGCCAGACAATATGGTCCTTTCACTAATTAGCGGCGGTTGGGGGCAATTATTTCACCGAACTAAACTATATCAGGAGATAAACTATATATTTCTGGACATAAGAGCGTATGAGTGATAGGAAAACACCACAAACATCCCTATCAGGACATTCAGGGCCACATGGGTCGGTCCTGAAAAGGGAGGCACAAGCTGATTGCTGAAAATTCTACCCGCAAAACAGGAACATAACTTCCACAAAACTAGATAATATCCAGTTTAATACTTTAGTCTTGTTTCTGACTGCAAACTGTGACAGCACAAGCGCAAAATATTGTATATTCTAAGCCCTCACTAGTGCAGCTACAAGCACACGTACTAGATGAGCTGTCACTATTGCATCCACATCTGATGAGCCACATGGCAGACTCTGGACCAAGTTTTACGGTTGTGATGTTTTCAATTTATTGTCCTTCTCCCAGCAATACAGTTCAGAATCAAGTTCACTGCAAATGCATCATTCGTTGGAGCTAGACTACATGGTTTAGATGGGGATGATGTCGATACATTTCCAGTTGTAGATGCCTGATACCTTCAAGCGTGTTTTAAGTCATTGATTTGCAAGAGTTCGGTCCAAAATCACCAATCCAGGAAAGAACAACTGTTGACATTGGTCAAACTACGGAGAAACACATGTCAATTATCATTGAAATCCTGCCAGCTCATTCTCGTACTGGATGTGACACGGGTACATGCGGCTACGTCGTGTGGAAATCAACAGTTTTGAAAGTGGTTAGAGCTTGATTGTATTCTCTCTCACCCCACTCGTCGGAGTAATAGACACTCCAATAGAATCATTGCTCACACAGTTACACAGGCCACTGTATTTATGTCAGCTTTTTTATGAACAGAGTTCTAAAAATCTATGTCCGAAACACGCTGGAGGGTGTGGACATCTAAAACAAACTGGAAATGTATCATTATTCTCCACCCAAACCATGTAATCTTCCTCAACGAATGATACATTTGCAGAGAACGTAAAAAGAGCTCATCACCAAGCTATTGTGTGGCGTTCACTGGAAGATCGGAATCCATCGGAACTTGATCTAAAACAGTATTGCTGGGAGAAAGATACCAAATTGAAAACATTACAACCAGTAAACTTGCTCCTGAGTCTGCCATGTGGCTCATCAGATGTGGATGCAGTAGTGACAGCTCATGTAGTACGTGTGCTTGTAGCTGCACTAGGGATGGCTTAGAATATACAATATTTTGCGCTTGTGCTGTCACAGGTTGCAGCCAGAAACACGACTAAAGTATTAAACTGGATATTACCTAGTTTTGTGGAAGTTATGTTCCTGTTTTCCGGTTAGAAATAGTTTTTTTTAAATGTTCAACAATCAGCTTGTGTCTCCATTTACAGAACCGACCTATGTGGCCCCTGAGCCCCTGATAGGGCTGTATTTAGTGTTATCCTATCACTAATACGCTCCTATGTCCAGAAATATATAGTTTGTCTCTAGATTTAGTTTGGTTCGGTGAAATAATCGCCTCCAACCGCCGATAACGAGTTAAAGCGTCATATTGTCTGGCATGTTTCATTTTAATATCATCTAATCACCCCACAACAGAAACATACGGTTAGACACCAAAATTATCATCCTAGGACAAATACTATGGGAGCTATAGGGGATTATTTGATGTGGCGGCCGTCCTGGACGCCATCTTGAATTTCTCAAAACGCTCAAGGGTGACCGAGGTTCACCCGGCAGATTCTGAACGAGGACACCCTAGGCTACTAAAATCAATCATAAAAAAAACTTTGTATACAATTTCCAGGTTCAGTCATAGGTCTGCCGGACTACCTTCGATAATCGCGCATATCGGTCAGTAACGTCTTGGATTATGGGCCCCTGATTGTACGAAAAATCACGTATTGACCCTGTAGTCACAATTTTGATTCGATTTCAAAAACCGTTCAAATATATCACCGTTTCGCCCTAGTGATGGTTACTTCGAATGGCCCGACAAAATGGCTGCTACCTGTACGCTAATAGTGTACAAGTATGTAATACCAAGGTTGTCACAGTGTTTATATTAATGAAACTTTAAATTTACGTTTATATCACAAAGATTACCGGACTGTAACTTCGTGAATAACAGCCTCTGATTAAACACAAAATAACGTTTTTATTTCGTGGCCCCCCTGGGTCCCAATTTTATTAGATTTTAAAGTAGCTAAGTCTCTAACTCAAAATCATCAAAAGTCTTCCACATTGAAACTACGAATTATCTGTCAATTTAAATCAACATTGATGTTGTGATCTTACCGGGAAATGATGGGCTTCTGATACCTAATATTTAAGACAAAATAAACATTTTACCATTCTACTCGAAGAATGATGCTGGACATATTCCACAAGTCATGTCAAACGGCGACGGCACATAATTATCTGGAGAGAATGCGCAATAGACTGGAATTATCTGAATTATCTTTTGGAATTACTATGATTCTTAACAGAATATATGGAATTGTAATTAACAACTAGATATTCATATGAAAAGACAATGTGAATAATGTCTTTTAACCGAGCTTTTAAAAGTCAAACGTTTGTATAGATGAGACTGAAACAAATGTTCTAGAATGCAAACCATCAAGTAATTCTTCTTTGGAATTTTTTAATATCCACAGATGATATGATTAATACCACGACGAGATATTTTGCAACAGTATGTTTGAATACCCTCTTTAACTGGCGTTAGTATAGATGTCAATATTGTTTTAAAGTAGTTCTGCGGAACAAGTGGATGAACCTGCTATAAAATGTTGTTTGTAGGGATTTTTGTGTAGTTTAGGCATTCAATATAACAAGGGCAGATCTGTATAGGTATCTCCACACGGAGTACCAAATGAAGTGAGTACAGATCTGTGATTGGATATAATTTCATCTTTACTAAGAGTAGAGCGTTTATATGTAGCACTGTCGATTGATTTCCCGAAACCAAGTTCTTTGAAGAGACAGTCGTAATAATATCGTTTTCATATAAACACTATGTTATGAGACGCTTTGTCAGCAGGAACAATGACATACTTGTCTCCGTCACCCTTTGTTTCGTCGCGTCTATGCCATGGTCTCTATACATTAACGAAACTAATTTAACATCTTGTTCACAAAAGACATGTTCTTACCAGGAAACCAAACGCTTTACTATAGCAAAAATGTATAGAGTGTACATTGCACTGCCTTTTAACTGGTATGCATTTACCAGCATCACGTTGTTCAAGTGTGGTTTTGTCGCCTAATCTACACGATTCTTAGACGTTGAAGTTTCTACGTCACCGTAAGTTTCTTTAAGTGAGACTGTTTTAATCCCCCTTATTTTGGTTTTTATTTGTGGGGCACACTTTTAATGTTCCCGATCATAATGATGTTGAGAATAGGTAATTGGATTAATGTTGACATATCTATGAAAAGATAAACTCCATCATAGTTTCACGATTTATATCATGTAAAGCCTCAATAAACAAGAATGTTGTAAATAATCACTTTCCTATATACATAAGAACACAAGTATTGTAACACTTCTACTTGAATACAGGGCTAGTATCATGGTTGCGGTTTATATTATATATCTTTAAAGCCTCAATGAACAAGAAAGTTGTAAATAATCACTTCCCAATATACATAGGGACACAAGTATTCTCACACTTCTGTTTGAATACAGTGCTAGTAAACGTTCTGAAATGAAATGAGCTGAACTGTAGGATTCCCTATTGACCTGTATCAGCCATAGTCACCCATTTTCCTCACCTATTTTGGAACTCGACAGAATCACAGTAAGTCATCTTCTTAAACTTTTTATATTTAATTTGCTAACTCAGTGTTTTACTTGAGGCCGTCCAGGACAATTTAATACCTACATGACGTTGCTGTTTTCTCTGCGTATAAAACCCGTCAGTACTAAAAAGTAGGACATTAAAGCCCATTCCATTTCTATTTAAACATGAAACAGAACTTGATTTAACCAGACAATGAAAACCCATCGGATACGTCTGCAGGTTGTCCTACGAAACAGAATTAATTGACCTGTTTCATATTTTCAGGTGAACCAGACCCGTGTTTTATATCATCTATATGGACTGATGGAGATGGTAGAAGTATTAATTGTCATGTAAATTATGATAAATGTGACAGATATATGGAACCAGGATGGTATCGTGTTCAATCAGAATCTGGTCAAGATCTCACCATGCCCACTTCACCTGTACCAGTAAATAGTTGTGGTACCAAGTATCCTATATGGTTAAATGGTAAGATCATTATAAATGTATAAAGGGCGATAATTACAGATTTCTTAAATCATAATTCCAAAATCTTGTATTGGAGATAAAATCATTTACTTTATAGACAATTACTGTACTATAGAAGGATGTCAGATGGACATAGATCCGTGACGGAAATTATTGGTTATAGCGGCGGATTTGAATTTGATTGACAATATCTATATATTTATAGGAGATCATCCAAGTTCATCAGATGATATTGTTGACCATGTTGCATGTGTAACCACTAACTCCTCGACCTGTCGCTACTCCTACCAAATAAGGATCAAGAAATGTCAAGATTTTATGGCTTATTACCTGGTAAAAGCTGAAGGATGCAACGAACGATATTGTTTTGGTACGGTGATGGTTATTATATATTCTCTGGGATTTGTTTAGTAAACGGCGCTGTATATGGTTAATAGATTAATTAAATCGCTAGGGACATGTAATTCACCATCTAATTAAAAGACGTTGGTGATTATAATATAATCACGGATTATTAGACTCGGTTACGAAGACACAGAATATTCGCCGTCGTATGCTTTAGATTCATATTTCATGAACGTAATGATTTAGATATGGAGTTTGTCATTTATTTAAACCTTTACCATTATCAAATACTTTTATTCATTTGGTTGTAATATGTTAGTTATTGCTTAAATTCCTTAAATATTATAGAAAGAACAATACAAGATTTGTTTCAGATAGGAAATACGGTCATTTGTGGGTGGGACGATTTACCCAATATTACCTCAATCGAACACATACTATACAATACTGATGTATTATTTGGTAGAAATATACTACATCACCAGTGTATGTCTTTTGTAGGAGACACCTATGATTGCAAGACAACGACACCAATATCAACAACACGGTCATTCTATGTTGGAAGTAGACGTAAATCTTCTGGAACGAACGAACGGACATTCCATAAATCAGCTACCTTTCGGGATTCAGATATAGGTAAATAATTGCCACCTAGCATTGACATTGTATCATCGATAGATGATTTGGATAGGACGCAAGATAGTTTAACGCCCACTTGACAAAGACCTGCAGTATATAGTGTGCTTTTGATGTTTATGCTTGTATGCTTAAAATATATTTATGAAATAGTTGAAAGCTTTGATCTAGCTGTGGTTTCGAAAACTTATATATTGCCATAGACTAGACCTTACTGGTGTTTTTTATCCCAAGTTTGGCGTGCAAAAGTTACATTGCCACCTAGTCTTCGAATAGGGTGCAATCTTATTTTAGGTGTGAGGGAAAACCGATGGACCATACTTCTTGTCACGAACAAGCAGGGTATCGAAACCATACCGCTTGATAGACCTTATGATCGTTAACCCATTCCCCCCCACCCTCCCAGGCTTGATGGTCAAGAAAGTCCTAACACTATGTTTACCATTTCAGTTAGACCAGACCCTATGCTGTATATTGCAATTATTGTTGTGGTGATATTCCTATTCGGTGGTGCTGTGGCCATTTTGGTATACATCAAATATAACAAGTATGTACCATGTATTTTTTTTCATATTCATTAAATGTTCGCTCTGGTCACAGTGTGTCGAGGGATCTAAGAATATTTATAAATATTAAGCTTGTTTGTAAAACGAAGGTATTCGTCAGCGAAGCCGATAAACATTCAAGATTGTAGTATATATCACTTAAATAATGCTAAACACAGGCTCAGATATGGTTACGTGTAAGTAGCTGGGATTTCTATTTGAGACCCATCTGTAGAACCGTAATCTTTTTAGTCTATAGCCCAATACATTATGTCCGGGTAACAATCAATGTTTGTAATTCATTGGTTTTCTCGAAAAGACAAAGTGCTACCACCCCCCCCCCCCCCACACACACACACACCACACCCCTAGAAAAAGGTAGAAAAACAACAAATACAAAAAAAACTTTTTTTTTTCTATTACATTTTTATCCTTACGTATTTATATTACAGCCAATGTTACAATTAAAAGATTACAAATTAAACAAAAGTAAACTATGTTTATATTTTTCTACTTACAGGTCAAAAAATAAGGTACATGATCAAAAACAACTGTATAAAACATAATTCCATTAAATGGACTCTCTCTTTATTTGAATATGTGATATCGTAGTTCTACTGTGATATAGAAGTTAGTGCTGTATATAGTGTGATTTTGATGTTTATGCTTAAAATATATTTAGGAAATAGTTGAAAGCTTTGATTTCGAAAAACTTATATATTGCCATAGACTAGACCTTACTGTTAGTTTTTATCCCAAGTTGGCGTGCAAAAGTTACATTTCCACCTCGTCTTCGAAACGAAATTGCATATTCAACTAACCTTAACCCTGCACATAACAGAAGAAGTTACCAAGCATTACTCTCATACCAATACCCATAAAAGTAAAATTACCATATGTTTGATAATGACCAAGGTATTTGTACTAGAAATATTTGTGTAAAGCATAAATAAGTGGGATACATTTTCGTACATATTCTCTTTGAATATGTATATCTAATTGTGTTATGTTCTTGAATAATTTGTTTTGTCTCCTGGTTTATGTATTAGAAGCATGGTGCAGAATAGTATGACGTTAAATCCCATTTCATTTCTATTAGTGGCCACATACTAGGATAAGAACGTAACGCCCCAAAATTTGAAACAGGCTGGCCGGAATTACAAAAATTAAGTTCAAACATTATTCTCCGGGTATAACTCTTCTCATTTGTTGGCTAGAGGCCACGAAACATTTTTTTCAACTTGTGAATTTTTGTCACCCTCCTACCGGCAACACACCCTTAATACAATATATGGAATACATTTGTTAAGATTGGGTTGCCGTATCAAAAGGAAAATATTGATACTACTTTCAGTTACTTTCATGGGCTGTAGCAACAAGCGATTGAAATGAGTTGAAAAACGCCGTTTAGACTGGTCACCATGTATAAAAATTGTAGACCCGTATTTTATGTGTTATATTCATGTATCATTGAATGTATATTATAGTATATTTTATCATATTTCTATACGTGTGTGTATTTCTTGCAATAAAATGAATTCTCAATTGATTGGACAATATACTCCATCTTTGTAAACATGGCAAGGATTGGGTGGGGGGGGTTAGACCATGAAAAATTTATAAAATAAATTCTATTGATTTTGCTGGGAAATTAATAGCTTTTCCTATCGTCCTGTATATTTAATCAGATTTTATTCAGTAGTGTTTTTTAACACAAGATTCCATAAGAATCTCTTCTCAGGCCCCTATATATCCCTTTTTTGGTGCTACATTTCAGAAGATTGTCGACAGAGTGTTTTGGTCTGTGGTATTTTTCGCCACAAAAGTTCCAAAAGTTTTTCAAATCCCATCATCTTAAATTTGGAGTGACCCAAGGAACAGTACTGGGACCGATACATTTCAATCTGTATACATCACCATTATCCCACTTGGATAATAGCTGCTAACAGACAGCGGTGTGTAATGGTGCTCTCCAGATTTTGACCTTTTCTGCGTGTTTAAAGTATAGGTTTGTGAGAAATATTTGCGTGTGAATGCAACCAACTGTAAGGAATCATTTTTAAAAAATCGTTTGGATTTTAAAAGTTATTGTTGAAATATTGTTTCAAATGAAAATAGTATGTTGATCAACTGGTGTAATTGAACTGATGTTAATCCCCATTGTTCTCTTGCACTCATCAAAATACCCATTGTTGTAAAACGAGAGGTGTAAAGGGAACCAACAAAAGATCTTGTTCAAATCACTTTATATCACTAAAGGTTAATCCATATGATTAAATACTCACGTAGTGAGCTTTCAGAACTTAAATCTGTTCATTCATCATTTGACTTTACATATATTTAAGAAAATCAGAAGCAAAAGAGCTGGACGACGAAAACAAAAGCTTATATCTGTTATAAATGGCAACAGACCATAATAATTTAACCCAAATACAGTCAATTGAATATTGTTTGACAAATTCTACTGATTTCAGTGTACTGCATGGTGATTTATCACCCTCCACCCACTGCCACTAATAGATCTTTCAACAGCCAGGTAAGATGCTGGCGCGTTAGCCTGGAGGTCGGGTGTTCGATCCCTGCATTGGCCGAGAAAGTTCATCCAGATTTTCCTGCGTGGTTTCAACTTGTCAGTGATGCAGGACGGAGGGCCTGACTAGGACAGCTGTCTAGTCGTTCGGATGGGACGGAAACCGAGGTCCCGTGTACATATAGGCGTGCACGTAAAAGATCCCTTGGCAGTTGGAATTCGATATAAGAGTAGGCCGCTGCCCGGGCAAAATTTTCCTCATAGCACACTGTATGGCGTATGCCCGTCCTATTAGCCCAGTTTAGGAGCAGGACGTTAAACCCCATTTCATTTCATTTAATTTCATTTCATTTCAGTTTTAATCAGAATTTGCTTTGCTTACATCTAAAGTTGTTCTTCTGTGGGAATCCATACTTAATTTACACATTGACATACCCAGTGATCCTATTGTTGCCCAATATAATGACTTACTTTATTCGTATAATCTGGTTCAGCATGTTAATCGAGCTACACATCTAAAGGGACACATTCTTGATCTAATTATCACCAGGAATGATGACCACCTGAATGACTCAGTGGATGTATTGCCCGATATTATTTCTGACCACCATCCTGTTTATGGAATAATTAATCGAAAGCCAGACGCTGGAACCGATTTACAAGTAACACCGAGAAAAACATAAATTTAGCGGACTTTTCTCCGATCCGTCAGAAAGTTTCAATAGTACACGGATTGGGGATCCATCTAAATTTGTTGAGGATTGTGATGCCTGCATTATCAGTATTGTAGTTTGTACATTCCTTCTACTACTAAAGGCGGTTTAGATGGGGTGGCTATTAAAGCTCTCTTTCGGATAAAAAAAACAAACAAAACGAAATTTCTGAGAGGAACGATTAACTGAAATATACAATAATAATATTTCTGACCACCATCCTGTTTATGGAATAATTAATCGAAAGCCAGACGCTGGAACCGATTTACAAGTAACACCGAGAAAAACATAAATTTAGCGGACTTTTCTCCGATCCGTCAGAAAGTTTCAATAGTACACGGATTGGGGATCCATCTAAATTTGTTGAGGATTGTGATGCCTGCATTATCAATATTGTAGTTTGTACATTCCTTCTACTACTAAAGGCGGTTTAGATGGGGTGGCTATTAAAGCTCTCTTTCGGATAAAAAAAACAAACAAAACGAAATTTCTGAGAGGAACGATTAACTGAAATATACAATAATAATACAATGAATTAAACATAGAAATTATTATAAAAATGATTAAAGGGAGATAACTATAATGAACGTACAGGGAACTGCTGTGATGAACTTATCAAAGACTTGTTTACGAAAGTCTAAATAATTCATCAAAAACTTAAGTAATGGGACTTGTAGCTTGTACATTCCTTCAACTATCTACTAAAGGTGGGTTTAGATGGGGTGGCTATTAATGCGCCCTTTCAGACATAAAAACAAACGAAATTTCTGAGAGGAACGATTAACTGAAATATACAATAATAATACAATGAATTAGACAGAGAAATTATTACAAGAATGATTAAAGGGAGATAACTACAATTAACGTACAGGGAACTGCTGTGGTGAACTTGTCAAAGACTCGTTTGCGAAAGTGTAAATAATTCATCGAAATAAAGGGTACTTGCAAACATTACGACTAAATTAGACTCAATATGACCATGCATCTACGACAGCTAGGTGAAGCCTGCTTTACAATACATAATTTATGAATTCTTTAAATGCAAGAAATAAAGAACTTTCTAACTTTATATAGTAATTAAATATATGACACTAGTTACCAGATTTGTTATCCACCATAGCTAAACATATAGGCAAAATATAGCCCTGGGGGCTGGGCATGCACCCCAAACGATAGGGATGTTCCTTAGGGTACAAAGAATAAGTATGAAAAGTTTCAATATGATACGTTAAGAAATGCAGCCTGTAGATGACAAACAAAGAAATACAAAAAATGGGCGTGGCTCTGCCCTTGGGGGTCGGGCATGCACCAAAAACAATAGGGACCATCCTTAGGGTATAAGGAATAAGTATGTAAAGTTTAAAGATGATCACTTAAGAATTGTGGCCTGTAGGCGACACACACATACAGGCAGATTATGGTTTTGCGGGACCATGACATTTTACATTGTTTTGGGGACCATGGTAACCCCTACTGCAATTAAGCCATAAATAGACTCAGGTACCCCGAAGACGGTAGTGTACCTCCCCGAGGCTATGCTAGAGTCGATATCTTTAGTGGTATGCTAGATATGTGATGTTGGTAAATTGGTGGCGTTAGAGGACCATTCTAAAAAAAGAAACTTTGTATCAAGAAGTAAAGTAGAGAGGGGGGATATGGGGACCAGCATAACACCCACTTGCATATTAAAAGTATTACAACAAAAAGAGGACAAAAGTAACACACTCACACCAGTAAATTAATGGGGTAGGAGGACCATTCTAAAAATAGAAACTGTGTATCAAGAAGTAAAGTTGAGAGGAGGGATATGGGGACCAACATAACACCCACTTGCATATTAAAAGTATTACAACAAAAAGAGGACCAAATGAACACACTCACACCAGTAAATATTAGTAAAATCTGAGGACCTTTATTTTCACACACGTTCAGTTTTTTCACTGGATTCAGAGACCAGTTGAGTGTTTCAAGTTTAGTAGAAACTTATTAGATCTGAGGACCTTCCATTACACATGTTCAATATTTTAAAGTGTTCAGAGACCACTTGGGTGTTTCAAGTAAATATTAGTAGATCTGAGGACCACCAAACACTCATAATAATTAAGTACTTTAAATAGATAAAAAAAAACACTTGTTTAATTACAGGAAAGAGAGAACAAGGCATTGGTTGTCCCCCCTTAGACCACAAAACTCAGTTTTTCCAAAAATGAGTGTTTCAAGTAGATCTGAAGACCACCAAACACTAATAACTATTCCTTTCATTAAATAAAATGTTACTTGTTAGGCCCCCATATGCGTGTTTTTCCCTCCACAACTACAACTTTCAATTGTTTTTGCAAAAATGCACATACCACTAATAGTTAAAAGGGCAAATTTCCCTCATAGCACCCGGCTAGGTGTATTGCCCCATCTTCATTACCGGGTACGGTACAGAAAAGTAGGATGTTAAAACCCTGTTTCGTTTCAATTATAATAGGCAGGAGAGGTCGGGTGGTACCCTCCATTATATATATCTGTGCCTTTGTTTTATTAAAAATAATATAAATCCAATCTCTCACTGGCTCTCATTACGTGATCTCTTATCCGACCTACTCTCAGGAGTTTTGAGCAAAGGTAGATACCTTACTTGAATGAACATCAATTCTAATGAGGACGGGATGTAAAGACCAGCATTTGACTGTTACATACTGAGAATACCATAACAAAAGGTATCACACATGCGTCTCACAACAAGGTAAATCTCGCAGAAGGTCAGGAATGGGACAACATTCAGTTGCGTATTGAGGGGTGTGGGAGTGGGATGGGTCGGGGAGTGGGATGGCCCTGTGGTCTAGACTGTCAATCTAGCTGGTTGGTCATCTCCGGCTTGCAGTTGTGGGTTCGATCCCTGGTGTGAGTAAATAGAGATAGGGGTGCCGCCTTGGGTTCACTCTGGGTAGTCAAGTTTCCTCCCACAGCAAAGACATGTGCACATGAGTTAAATTTGATAACATAAAGGTACCACAGAACTGTCCCAAAACGACCCAGTTGGTGTTGAGTGGGCATAAAACCCCATTTCATTTCAATTCAGTTGCATATTGAAAATATGAAAACAAACAGGACTAACTTCTGAATATCTAACTGTATTTTATTAAAGATTTAATCCATAATTGAAGCTATTTTACAAATACGAAAATGATTGAATTTTCCTGATCATATAGGCAGATAATGACAAAATAGAAGTGTACAATATGGTTTATCTCCTTAAGGAAACCCAACTTTCTAGTAACCCAACAAACATTTTTCAAGAATTAACAGTAACCATGAAGATGAAATCAAAGATTTGAATAACAAAGAAAACAGCACTCCCGGTGTACATTTGAACCAAACATATGAATAATTTGCATTCATATTATGCAAAACTAAATGGCAACAAACAGAAATTAATTCCTCTAATAGAAGCCTTTCTAAACTATTTTTTTTTCTCTATTAGGTTCTTAACTTGGCTTTTTACATGTACCCAGTTACGAGAGCATAAAATACCATGACTAGACTTAATCACTTCTTCGCATTTCTTTTTACCAACACCTGATAACTGTAATTTGCTTATATTATCACTGAAGAATTTTTCAAAGGTAACTCTTTTCAGCTTGGGACCATGACTTATGTGGACATTTCTTCCCACCACCACCTGTAAATATTAAATAGTTAACATAAGACTAAAATCTTTCCATCCACATCTTAATTTTAATCCATTGTGTAAAACATCATAACAAAAATTCTCGATAAGAATGACAATGCTCTAAAAGAACTAAAAAAAAGAAACCCCAAGGAAACCATGGGCGTAAAATTGGTGTGTAACATCTAATCCTCTATTTTGAAGTAGCGATGGGCTTATGTCAAAACAATTCCTTGTACTGATTAAGATGGGTTACATGTAAGCCTTGTTAATTCTGTACACAGTAAGAGCAATACAATATTGATGCCATAACACAATTTACACATTGTGTCATTTTACATTGCGTCGCAAGCACATTATCCACTGAGCCACCACTGACCTCCAAGGGAACAATGGAAGCAGTTAAAGATACGAAAGAACTTCAGCAAATTACCTGGGTTTCTTTTTTCTTTCAAACTGGTATTTGTTGTTTTAGGAATCCCTCTATCCACTGTTAAACAACTTGGCACCTGAGAGGTATGGTTAACTGAAATAATAAATACAATTGCCATAAATATACGATATTTCATTATTTCTCAATCTGAGTCAGATTAAAAATTTACATGACAAGAGGCCTGTTCTTTGCAAAAATTCTTCATATCTATTACCCAACTTATATGTTGATTTATATTTCTATACTCTTGAATACCGTCGTTACTCAAACAACTACTGCATAGTAATTTCAAAGCTACGTAAACAAAATCTTGAACATAAACATGCTGGGGGTGGGGGGGGTGAAATGAAATGAAATATGGGTTTATGTCCAATCAACACCAACGGGGTCATTTTGGAACAATTCTATGATACCTTTATTTTATTCAAATCAGCACATGTGCAGGGCCTTTGTGGGAGGAATTCGGAGTACCCGGAGTAAACCCATTGGGTCGAGAAGGTGCCCCAATCTCCAAACCACATACACTCGCACCAGTGATCAAACCCACAACCACACGCCAGAGGTGACTATCAAGCTAGAGGTTGAAGCGCAACAATCTACACCACCAGATCATCCTAGCCCCCCGGTTTGGGTAGGAGCATAATTTGCAAGGTGAAAGGCTTGTTGTGGGAGGAGCCACAGGCGTGACACTGAGTTGGTCTTGTAATACCTTGTGTTCATCGGGTAAAAGCTGAACTGTTGCTTTAAATAAAAGAGGTACAAAATAAATATTTAAGATGGGTTCCTGCGTACAAACTGGGTGATTTAATGGTATATATAATTTTATGATAATCAAATAATAATTGACACTTTTATAGACCAAAACCTATATCTCTGCAACCGAAAAAATTAGAAACCATTTTGTGATATCTGTATGGTCATATGGGTTTTTGCCCAAATGTCGTCATTTTCAGTGACAGTGAAAATGTTAAATTGGACTGACCTAGTCAAAGGTGGCATGAGGCATCACATGGTAACAAAAATTGAAAATCGAACGATAATTGACTCTTTTACATGCAAAATAACGTGAAAAGTGACGCATGCAAAATTGCCTATTTCTTTGCAACTGCGCATATTACAATCTAATTTTGACATACATTGTCCTCGTATGGATTAATGCTACAAAATTATGAAAGTTGCGTAGAAATAATCTAAAATATGAAGACGATGAATGGGTTGTAAACAGCTGATTTTTACTACTTTTTTCAACCTTAAATCCAAATGGCGCAAATACAAAACTGATATTAAAAAAAACCCAAAAAACTAAGCCCGACATATTTTGCGCCTGTAGTAGGAGGATTCATCTTCATTGATAAGATTTGTAGAAATCAAGATTTTTCCTTAGGAAAAGACCTCCTGACCCGCCAAAATTTAAATTTTAGGCAAAATTACGTCACTTCCGGTGCCGACAGAATACTTTATAGGTAGAAACAAGTTGAGAATTTGCACCAAGGAGTATATGAGCTTTTGTTTTATACAAATCAGGCAATAAATAATTAATTTAGAACCCATAAACTGTAATAAAAATGCGAAAAGTCTTAAAAAGTGATCCTGACAAAATTGGTTATTTCTTTGCAAAAAAAGATGTTAGAGGCTATTTTTTGACATATTTATGATCGTATTGATCCAATCTATATTTCCACTGAAATGAAATATCATAATGATAAACGAATACTAAATATAACTCACTTCAAAAAAAATATTTGTTTTGAAGGCTAAAATACAGTTTTTGCTAAAATGACATTACTTCCGGTGTGAATGAAAATGTTAAATTAGTTTTAGGAAATCAGAAATGGCATAAGGCATCACATGGTGAAAATTTTATGAAAATCGAATAATATTTGACACTGTTATAGACCAAAAACCTTGAAACGTGACTCGTAGAAAATCGTCTATTTCTCTGAAACCTTACAAGTTAGAACCCATTTTGTGGTATCTATATGGTCGTATGGGTTCATTCTATTTGTTGATTGAAATTAAATATCATACTTTTAAACAAATAACATACATGTATATGACTCATTTGAAAAAAATATCGGTTTTGAAGGCTAAAATTCAGTTTTTGCTCAAATGACCTCACTTCCGGTGACAGTAAATGTGTTAAAATGATTTAATCTAGTCAAATGTGGCATTCGGCATCAAATGGTGAAAGAAAATTGAAAATTGAATAATAATTGATTCTTGAACAGGCAAAATAGCACGAAATGTGACTCATGCCAAATGGCCTATTTCTCGAAAACTGCTGATATTACAAACTAATTTTGACATACATTCTCTTTGTATGGGTTATTGCTACGAGGTTATGAAAGTTACGATGAAATATGAAGACGGTGGACGGGTTGTAAATAGCTTAATTTTACACCTTTTTTTCACCTTTTAATCGAAATAGCCGGAAAACGAAATCGAAATTAAAAAAACTGAGTCCGATGATTTGTGCGCCTTTGCATGGCGTATACTTTTGGTAATATCAAATTTTAAAAAAATAAGATTTGCTTTCAAAAAGTTGTACCGAACTGTCAAAATCTGTCCAAATTGTAGTTTTTGCTGATTTTACTTCACTTCCGGTGCCGACACAAATCTTTACCGGTAACCAAAAAAATGACATTTTGGACCACGCAGCATATGAACTTTCTTTTGTACAAATCGAATAATAAAGAATTAATCTAGGACTGAAAAACTGAATTAGCCAATTGCGGCCAAGGAAAATTACGGACACAAAAAATGTTGACATTTTTAGTCAAATCGGATAACTCTTCAACCCTGGTTAAAATGCCATATAAAAATATTCAGAAATAAAAAGGTTTTTTGTAAAATTTTAAATTTTCGAAATTTGGCGCTTAATATCTACGAAGATTCGTCGACAATCAAAAATCAAAAGTAGCACAGCTATGTGCCTGGTCTCCGGCTATGCATCATATGTTAAAATTCGATGATTATTGTTAATACTACGGCATTCTTTTACAAAACGACAACTTCGGTGATTTCGGACATTTCGCGTTGTCACAGAATGCCCAAAATAGCTTTAATCGCTAAGTCACACCCACCTTTCCCAATAAAACCGAAGAAATCGTATCGATCCGACATGTAGTTTCTGAGATACAATCAAATTGGAAAAAAAAAAATAATAAGAAGAAGAATAATTTTAACAAAAACAATAGTGTTTCACACAAGCTACACAGTGTGAAACCCTAATTAATCCTTATGTTGACTTACATTGCATCATCAGAATTACAATTAACATCCACAAAGTTGTCCCCAAATCTCTGTTTAAGTTGGACTGGCCATACCCCTCGACATCCAGGCCCACATATACTGGTAATTCTCTGAAGTATTAAATGTAAAAATATTTATGTTTAAATCTACATGTATTGCAGTATGAACAAAGATTATGACTTAATAATTTACATAAAATGAATAACTAAAAACATAAATTGGTTTTATCCATACAGAATATACATGTATGATAATGAAGCTTAACCATAATTGATATTGTAGGCCACTGGTATTTAACCGTAAGCACAGTAGCATTTTGATGTTAATGATACAGAATCGCAGATCACCAAACTGCAGATAATACATGATTTGGGAGAAAAGCAAGAGAAAGTGGAAAATGGGACTTAACATCCCATGCTTGTGCCTATATAGGGGTCTTTAGTAGGGGTCTTTAGCTGTGGGAGGAAACCGGAGGACCCGGAGAAAATACACGCAGTTGGACAGGCTACCCTAGTCCTTGTCTTTTACAAGCTTAGACTCGAAACCATGCTACTTGACTCAATGAGAGATCTTATGATATAAAGCGCTCGCTTTAAACTACTGGACCCCAAACGGGAAAAGCCATGCTAATGTCTTTAGAATGTAATTCTCTTTTTTTTTGCCGTTAGTTAATATCAAAACTTCAATAAACATTGCTTTTGTATTCTATAATATCCTTCTGAATGACAGACAAAATGACCATCGATTAGAGTATATAATTTACAAAACACGTACTATCAGAATGATCTTGACCGTTATTAGCAACCACATCATTACTCATCATTGCGGAACTAGTCACTCTAGTGAAAATACTAAACCCAATATGTTCTTTAAATGGCATTTAGTAACTGGATAGAGTAACAACAAAACACATACTTATGGAATACAGCTACTAGTGTATTTAAGGCGACGTTTCGTAGAGTATTCTCTCAACGTTATCAAGCTAATAACGTTGAGAGAATACTCTACGAAACGTCGCAGCTTGATAACGTTGAGAGAATACTCTACGAAACGTCGCCTTAAATACACTAGTAGCTGTTTTCCATAAGTATGTGTTTTGTTGTTAAACCCAATATGTCATTGTCATGTTTTACAAATTACATGTAGTCTCTTACCTTTAATATTCGTCATTAAAGTAGCTAAATCTCTAACTCAATACCATCCAAAATCTTCGACATTAAAAACATGATTTATTTGTCGGTTTAAATCAACATAATTGATGTTGTGATCTTACCGGGAAAAGATGGCCTTCTGATATCCAATATTTAAGACAAAATAAACATTTTACAATTTAGCGCTACTTTTAGCTAATACTTTTTAGCGCTATTTGTAATAAGGGACTCGCAAAACGCGGCTAGGCATATTCCACAAGTCATGTCAAATGGTGACGCTACATGTATATTCTTATCTGGAGAGCATGCCCAATAAATACTATCGGCGTAGGTTGGAATAACCAGTCGCTAGAGATTGAAATTCGATTGAGAATACTGGCGTATTTCACCGAACCTAATTGATTAGAAATTACAGTAAAAACAAAAACGATTGAATGTTAATCAATTTATATACATTCATATTTCATTATTGTATGCATTGCAACCCATTTGTGTCAATTTCTAGGTCCCAAATATTAGCGACTTAGCTCCTTTAAGCAGAAACATAACGATGCCAGTGGTATGCTAACAAAACTGTTCATACTGTAAACAAAATACATAATTTAAAGGGGCAAAATCGCTAATATTTGGGATCTAAAAATTGACACAAATGGGTCGCATTGTATATAATAATGTACGGTAATATGAATGTATGTAAACTGATTTACATTCAATTGTTTCCGTTTTTACTCTAATTTCAAAGCAGTTATGTTCGGCGAAATACGCCAGAAGTCTCAATCCAATGGCCATCTCTAACGTCTGGTTATTCCAGTCTACATCGATAGTATTTATTGCGCATGTTCTCCAGATAAGAATATGGGGTCACCGTTTGACATGACTTGTGGAATATGTCTAGCCTCGTTCTTCGAGTCGCTTAATGTTTATTTTGTCATAAATATTGGATATCAGAAGCCCACCTTTTTCTGTTAAGATCACAACACCATTCGTGTTTTCATTGTCGAAGGTTTTGGATGATATTGAGTTAGAGATTTAACTACTTTAAATATAGCGATAATTGCATTTTTTTTAAGTCTTATGTTTAAAATATGTTTAAATAAAGACTTAAAATACATGGCTTCTATATACACAGTCCTACCTTGTTAAAGAATAATCCTAAAAATGGCATCATTATCCCTGTATCTGTTTAACCGCGGATCTTGTGTAGACATAGTTTTCCAGTGAAAAGAAATTATACAATTTCCCATTCGGCAAACCTCGACAGACTCGCCGATATTCTACATCTAGCGCAGAAAAATACCGTAGTGTTGCGCGTGACAATTTCCAAATACCGTCCGCGAATAGAAATTATTTCAAATTTTATGTGAATGTTTTTTTAAGTACTAGAATGATTCCTATGATTGTGTACGTAGTAGATATAGAAATAATTATGTTTTGACTTTCTTAGAAAATATGCAATTATCGCTTTACTTTGGGAAATACAATGACAATGTAGAAATGGTTCCACTACTGATGTACGTCTTCCGCCTTACCGATACATACATAATTGTAGCTAAATGACAATGGTGCACTTTTAATTCTATCTATGTCATGAAATATAAATATTCTATTTCTGAAATAACGATTTTATTTCAGAAATAGGGAAAACATGGGTCAATTTCGATTGCCCATTGGTGCAAGACAAACCTCCGAGACATTTTTAATTTATTTCAACATCACAAGATTTCGTTCTACTGAACACCAGAATATTAGAATATGTTCACCATTCATACAAATACATATATATAGGCCTAGACTCAATCAGTCAATGACTGAATCAATGATACTAGGCCCAAATGATCAGATGATAACTTAAATTAAATGACAAGTTATTGATAGAGTCTACTACGTTGCATATTATGTCGAAAAAGTCGATCCCAATTTTTGTACATGACACCAAGCATAACAGTTAATATGACCAGAACAACAAAAGTGGAAAATGGTCAGCAAAAAAATAACATGAATATTTCTAACTCGACTAAACATGGTGCCTTACCGTGATTGTTGTTGTTTGTTAGTTGTATTTTACGTCCACTTCCACCGAGGTGATTTAAGCTATTATTAATATGGCGGAGATACGCTTACAGTATGCGCATGCGTGATAAATGACGTAACTGAGCTGTGTGAATATGAACTGACATGGGAGGTGATCAGGCTGGAAAACACACCCTTTCACCCAAGGGGTTGGTATTTTACGGTTAACCGAGCACTACCGAGATATTCTAAAAATAAACTCGGCAGGGGGTGGAAAGTAGATGACACAGGTTTCTAAATTCGAGGACCGATTTTGGTCCTCGAAAACCCGATGGTCCGGCAATTGTTGGTGTGCAAGCATACAAGTGTCCCCCAATTCAATGATCTGCCCACACACAGACACACACACATACACGCACCCACAGGCACGCACCCACACACACAGACAGGGGCGACGGCAATATACGTCCACATTATGAATGTGGACGTATAAAAACGATTTTGACCTGGCACTGGATACTAATCTAGCTGTGCACCTAGTACTTTTGGATCTCAGTGCTGCTATTGATACTATAGATCATAGTATTCTATTTCAAAGGCTGGAATGTTTAGTTGGGATCTGTGGTGCCGACTGTCATCGATAAATTCATATCTTCAAGATAAAACGCAACATATGCAAATAATCAGGTCTGTGTCTTTACTTTTTCTGTTATACATATTGGGACCTCTACTTTTTCTCTTATACATTCTTCGAATTGGTCAAATCATAAGAAGGCATGAGGAACTTAACCACGATTTTGCTGATGACACCCGAATAAATGACTACGTTCAGCACAACTAGGATTATATCAGTAGACTAGAGCCTTGTCTTAATAACATTCGAGGCTAAAACTTAACGATGACAAATCCGAATTTCTTGTCATATCAAAATCACAATCCAGTAAATTGTTTTTAAAGCTGATTCCATTCATATCGGTGATTGCTCTATATCTTCAAAGAAGCAGGCTAAGAATCTTGGCTATGTGACCGATGAATTTATGTCCCACATAATAGTATCACACAGAAAATGCATCTTCAAATTAAAGCTATTTCGAAAATACTCTCTAATCTTAATACCGATGCTTGCCAGAGTGTTGTTAGAGCATTGGTAACATTGCACATGGACTATGCCAATTCACTTCTATTGGGATCACCAGAAACAACTTTAACAGACTACAAATAGCGCAAAACAATGTTGCACGTCTCATAACTAGAATACGAAAATTTGATCATATACCAGCTAGGTTACAGAAACTCCACTCTGCTCCCAGTTCGAGCGAGGGTTCAATTTAAAGCTCTTGTAAATGTTTTAAATCAATTCATTCTGACAATGTACCCAGTTATTTAAAAGAACTCTTTGATTGCTATATCCAACCTTCGTTCTGTAGGTGATCGTAGAATCTAAATATAATAAACGTTCTGGTGAATATGCTTTCTCCGTTCTTCGTCAGAGCAGCCAAATGTGGAATGATCTTCCCAAATCTCTTCGAGAGTCACCTTCCATCCAAAGCTTTAAGACCAACTTAATAATATTTATTTCGAACTAACAATAATGATAATAATTTGATTCTCAAATTCAGACTTGAATTTCACTTTATGCGGACGTCACCCAACTGTATATAAGATCCCAACAGTTTTAATATCGAAAAATGTATAGATGATAATAAACGCTGGATTTCACAGAATTTCCTTAACCTTAACGATGAGAAAACAGAATACTTGGTAATTGTCCAAAAACACGTTCTCTCAAAGCTAGATGATGATCTTTCTATCTGTTTTGCAGTAATCCATCACTATATCTACTGCAGCCCTAAACATTGGTGCAATCTTCGATTTCAACTTGCATATGGAGTTATAAATTAACACTGTATGAACAGAAGGCTACTTTCATTTGAGCAATATTGCCAAAAATAGGAAGTTTATTACAATAGATGGAACAAAAACCCTGATAAAAGTCCTAGTTATCCATACACTAGATAAATTGAATTCACTGCAGTCGGGCGTTTCGAATAAAGCATTGGACAAACTGGAAAAATCAGCTGCTCGTCTCATCTCAAGTTGTTCTAAATACTGTTTAATCTCCATTGGCTCCAAGTAACGCATAGAATTGAATACAAAATTCTACTTTTCAACTTTATTGATAATAGCAATGGATGCGAATCAGAAAACGCTCATTTCAAGATAATGATGCCATTTCAATTATTATTTGAAAAATATGGCGCGTCTACTATATTGGTCGCAACGATTATCAGCGAGAGAGAATGGTCTTAATACGTGACAGTTTCACCCTTTGAAGGAGGCAAGTCTCTAACTAAATATCAGCCACAGTCTTCGCCACTTATTGGTCAATTCAAATCATTGATGTTGTTATCTTACCGCGAAAAGATGAGCTTTTGATATCCAATATTTAAGATAAAATGAAGCGATTCGATGAACGACGCTAAACATAACCAACAGGAGAATACTACCGGTATAGACTGGAATAACCAGCCACCAAAGACTGCCATTCAATGATTGAATGTAAATCAGTTTATATACATTCATATTACATTATTATATGATTGATCTACATGGTTTGTTTTGGAAATGGAAATGAAATGGGGTTTAACGTCCTACTGTTCTGCTCCGACTGGGCTATACGCCATACAGTCTGCTATGAGGGAAATTTTGCCTGGGCAGCAGCACTATTGACTAATCTTATATCGAATTTCAACTGCAAAGTTATCATTTACGTGCACGTCAATGTGTACACGGGACCTCGGGTTTTCGTCCCATCCGAACGACTAGACTTGTCATGCCCTCCGTCCTGCATCACTGACAAGGGGGGGGGGGGAGAGACCACGCCGGAAAATCTGGATGAAGTTTATCGGCCAATGCAGGGATCGAACACCCGACCTCCTGGCTAGCAAGCTAGTGCCTTACCCACTTTGCCACCCTATAGTTGGACAAGGAGCAGTGTCTAGTTGTTATAGCTGCAGTTATCTGGCAATATCTGATTATGCCCGGCTTAATCCACGTTAGGAACACATTAAGATTAAGCATATTATTTAGCATCTGATTACGAAAATCAAATCAATATCAACGATGGATAATGGGTTTAAAAGAGATCCGTATTCACATTTTAATGTTATATATATTTTAATTGTAAAGAGCGCCCAGGAACATACTGCGCTATACAATTATTATTATTATTATTATTATTTACCCCTTGAATTCGGAAATCATCGCCACGACACATAGCACGATTTGTTTGTACAAAAACTGGTTAGACATAACATAAGGTATGTGCAAGCTAGTAGAGCAATAGAAAAGGTGGGTGACAATTTAGTAGGGAGCTGTTCAACACAAATAATTTTCTGCAGTCCAATTTGTGATCATTTTGTAAATGAAAATATGTTGTATGCTGTAATTAATCTACACCATTAATTTAGAAAAGGCAGAGAGAAGGGAGTTCAACATCATTTTAACTATTCCTGAACAGTTCATAAAAATCAATCAAGACTTAGAACTCTGTAGAGTAATGTACGTTTATCAGCTACTTTTGTGAAACCAATCGGGACTATCTTTACCTCAATAATATCAAAAACTTGTAAAATGAACACAAGAAAGTGTGAGCGAATGGATAGACAATGGCGAAGTAAGGAAAAATGCTATGTTACGATACCTACCCCTCCCTCAAAAAATATAGACAAGCATTTCTGGGCCACTCTTTGTTAGAAAAACCCCTGTGTTGGTAGAATATTAGGTTCTTTACATCGTAGCTTTGGAAATAAAGTAAAATATAGTATGGGAAAATTTGATCGGTCAAGACTTTGGTAGAATGTTTAAACTCGGTGTAGATGTTGATTAGGTGAATATCGTGACTGAGTTCAATGATTAAAAATTTCCGCTAAACCTGAAGCAATTTCATTGGTCGATGATTTAGGCCAAAGCAACTTTGATTTTAACTGATGAAGAGTGATGCAGCTTAGTGTAGAATTTCATTAACAGGTACTTTAAAAGCTTGACCGAGGTTGATAGTGAAAATGTTCTGCTTCTAAGTATAGATAATCAGTTTAATTGCCCAACACTTTTCGAAAAAGTTAAATTTACAATTAATTTTATTTATATGTGTCATTTATTTATCACTCTCACCCAATTATAACCAAAGTTGTCATGTTCCAAAGTCTGACCCAATCAAATTACGAATCCCTACTTAGCCTTTGTGGAAAAAACTCATGATCAAACACTGTCTAAGCATTCACCTAGTAGACACCTTCACCGCAATTATGAGGGTTATTGTGTTCCAAAGTTTCGATCAATCAGACTGAAGTCTCTACTTATCCTTAGCGGAAAATGCTGATCATGGCACTTAGAAACGATATTGATATAATGAAACTATAACCGAAGTTTCACCACCCTTACTCAATTAGAATCAAAGTTATCGAGCTCCAAAGTCTCGACCATCCACATGGTCAGAAAAGCAGAAAATGTTCATTATCGAACAAGGTATCGATGTAATGAAACTATACACCACGTTTTATCACACTCACTTAATTAGAACCAAAGTTATCGTGTCCCAAAGCATCAATCAATCAAATTGCTTATCTCTGCTTAGCTTGGGCAGACAATGCTCATCATCGAACTCTATCGCGACATTCACCTAATAGACACTTACACCAATATCCTAGTCCCAAAAAGTGTGACAGACAGACGGACGGACAGTCCCATTTTAATAATCCCCTGCTTTCTTTAAAAGGCATGGGGCAAATCGAATCATTGAACCGTTATATATTATGAACCTTTTATTAAAGATACATTATGGGGGATTCGATAACGTGTTGACAGTTCTCACTATAATTTAAAAAACTGGATAATTTTAAGGCAATTTGCTGGCAATTTCATTCAAATTTATCCATTATGAACCGAGAACTAAGTGATTGAAATTTCCGCCTAGCCTCCGTCATCATTACTAAGGTCAATACGATAAACAGCATAGTCTCGATTATCCATTTAGTCGTTAAATCGTGAAGGAAAGTTATGTAGTAAATCGGTTCATAATCCACTAAGGATCGCAGGCTAGCGACGCCATCTACTGTTGATTATGGTCTGGATAGGTTAATTAATGTCTAATTAATAATTTAGATAACATTACAGGCTTAAAGAAAGACCTGCAATAGACAGATTTAGCTCTTGCATAATGTATGTTTAAAGGGCCAATCCCGATAATATTTTGGGGAATATAACCGATTAATTTTGTGTTAAAATCATTTAAAATCCATTACCTTAGGGCAAAACAACTAACTCAATATATGTACTACAACAACTTAAACCTGTCAGTCTTAATCTGGAAATGAGGATCGATGTCCCAAGCTGTATTATGTGGTGTCTGGATAAAACTAGACTTATATTTTATAAAAATACTGTGTAGGTGAAAATTACCTTTTGTTATCAAGTACAGCACAGGGGTCAATCACTGTATAGACCTTTGAAGGAACCGGAATCGATTATCCCAACAAAATATTTATCCCCAAATCTTAAAAGGGTTACGTGTCCGGATAAGCAGTTTTGAGGTTCATGTCCAAACAACTCTAATTTTTTTTAGCTGTAATTTTGAGACAGTGTTAATACACCATTCCTCTATATTCTGGCGCTTAAATTTCATACATACTCGGACTTTTATTTTTGAGACTATTCAAATCGGGATAGTCCCTTTAAGGAAGATGTCAATTTGGCCTTGTGGTAAGTCTATGGTAGTTTGCCTTTACTTTATGCCAGTGAAAGCCCCCAGTGACGTATGTAAATCATCACTCGTGTTATATATATTAGATTGTTGGGTTCTATTACGCCTTAAAGGGGTGTTGCTAACCAACTCCACTTTTCTGCTTCGTATTGTCAAAATAACTCGCCAAGAATGGCAGTTTCTGGGCGCTTGTCCAAAATAAATTTTAAAGGTCTTTCGTTCATAGAAGCATTTTATATTAATGTTTTCGAATTATGTATTATTTTATTTTGCACAACCCTAACTTTGGCGGGTGTGGCGCCAGACAGGGTAAGCTTACTCTTCCGGACACCTGTTGCCACTGTTTGTCGTGTATTTTGTACACGGTGAACAAGTCCATATGCTGCTACACTATTTTGCCTTATTATAATATTTTGCCTACACCGTTTTTTAGGACTTCGAATTTTGTCTAATGGTTTGGATTGTTCGTATTTTATTTCTCAATGCAGGAGAGGCGAAGGTATACATTTAATGTCCTTAAAGTGTCTATCTTCACTGGATCACGTGACAATATCTCTTGAATGTTATCGCGAATCGCATATTGAATTGCATATACTGAGCTTAAACCGAACTGTTTCTATGAATAGTAACAGTCCATGCTCGTATTTCATTTAGTCAACACGACAGACAAGGACATGGATACATCTTTTAAGATATTGCTATATTTTATAGGCTTAACAACATTATGGACAACGGTAAACTGTTCTACTACAGGGGATGCAGGTAAGATAGTACATTGTATCTTCGGGAAATGAGAAACGTGTCTTGGCTGACGACCAGTTATTAACGCACAGAAATTGGTTCTTAGATTTCTGAATTATCCAACATCTGCACCGAGAAAACGATTGCGGCTGTAAGATTAACAACATCAGAGGACCATTGCAAGTATTTTGGAATTATCCATTTCATTTATGAAAGGAAAATCAATACCGTTACTGTTAATTTAGTAAAGTTCGGGGCCGTGGTGGCACAGTGAGTAAGGCGTGGTTTTCCCCCGTGTCATTGGGCAGACACTGGAGAACCCGTTGTATTTTAGAGTATATACAAATGATAAATCGTTGTATTTTAGAGTATATACAAATGATACATTAGACTCACAAGAAGGCGGTGGTAAGTTTTCTGGGTAAATAATAATAAAAACATATGAAATATGGTAAACAGTTCTAAATTAGATCCGTACTTGATCGAGTCCTGTATCCGTCTTCCCTTCTAGAGTGTCTTGTGAACATTCTACAGATTAGTCTAGCCCATTTTGTTTTGTTTGATTGTTGAACTTGTTGATGTTCAATACGATTATATAATAATACGTTGTTTTTTTAAAGATATTCCGGATTTTAGAACCGTACCAAGTGTCACTTATGATCAAGTCACGGCGGCATATGTCACACAATTCCGGTTCTTCTGCAACTTCACCGAATCAACAGACGAAGTATTATTTTATGAAGCACACTGGTACGTCCCTATTGATACAATCATGTATAATACTACTGTGTATCCTACCTTACAGACGGTAGTGTGGTTTACAGTTCTGAAATATTTGTGCTTATAAAACTAAAAAAAATATTAGCCTGTTTCATCTGTAATAAACACGACGTTCAGTCGCAGGGTCGCACAACAGGCGCCTGTAACGTGGAAAATGTTTCAAGCTATGACTAAGTATAATGTCTATAAAGTCTATTACGTCCTGGTTCGTAAGCGAGATTGTCAAATAATTGGTCTGATTCCGATTTGTAACTCAGGGGCAAATAACTCGTCTGAAACCGATTCTCTTTCAGTAGATATAATAATACCAAGGTGAGAAACGGTTGGATTAAAATATTTGGGATCAAATTTCACTTCTCTAGATTCCGTCAACTAGTGTCAATACTCACTAATTTTCGCTATAGGTAGACAATTTAATCTACGATGACGTTTAACAATTGTCCACGTGATTTAAAGAGGGCCACGTGGATAATTTAAACCTTTGGCTAAAACTCGGCGATTTTATTTCTTATTTAGTTGATTTTAACCAATGACGTATATATTGTAACGGTTCTCGGTTCAGAGTCAATTCATGTAATTTCGTCATTTTTATACGCCCACAATTTGTTTGTGGACACTCTACAGGTCACAAATTTTATCCAATTTTGACGAAGCAGCTTGAAATATAGGTTTACATCCCAAAGATCTCGGTTCCTTTCAATATTGGCATGTATCGGACAGTAAATTCACAGTAACTTCATGGATTATGGCCCATGTTTGTACGAAAAATCATGTTTTGGGCTTAAGGACACTATAGAGGTCACATTGTTTATCCAATTTTGATGAAACTTAAAATGTTTAATGTATGTTTATAACTCCGAGGTCTTGGTTCCTTTCGATATTCGCACATATCAGACCGTACCTTCCTGGATTATGGCATCTGATTGTGTGAAAAATAAAAACATGGCAAGTCAGACGGCATACAACAGTAGAGATAGACTAGTCGTAGACACATAGAATGACTTAAACTACATAAAGAAAACCACAGCTATGAACTTATGAACTGTATTCAGTGGGTCGGGTTTCATATAAAACCGTCCAGAAAATGAGTTAAATGAACAAATTGGTCTCCAAGCTTCGGTCGCCGGGCTAAATCAGGCCATTGATTCAGAAATAATATCTAATTGCTGTGTCCCAACTATGGAGAAGGTAGCGGGGGGCTAAGTTGATCCTCAAGATAAGTTGACCCACCCTCTCTCCAACCTGTATGAGTCTAATAAACGACAGTTATTGGTGTAAGGGACAAGTCCATTCCATCACTATAAACTATAAAATTTTAGCCGAAAAGTTGATTTCTTAAAATCGGGTTACTTGTTTTCTATTTCATTAACGGTGTAGATTTCCTTGAGTGACAAATTGGCATTTGATAATCACTATATATGGTTATAACTCTAGCTTGCTGGTTTGGGATTTTATGTGTGAAGATGCTGAGTCCTACTTAATTTTAAAGTTCACCTCGGGGCAATTTGTGCAATTTCTGACGGGACAAGTAGAGCTTTGGCAAGACTTACCCCGCTGATTTATCTGATGTTATTATGTGGTATCCTATATTCAGCAGTGATATATTTAAATAGTTTTTTAGGCCTATGACGATGCGTTCATTGTTAATATTAACTATAATTCAGTGCTATATAATCTATAGCCTAGTCATTATCCATGTCTTGTGGGTGCTTTTAATACATGAGTAAATTGCATGTGAATCTTATCATATATACCTCATTGTAATGTCATATGACCAATTAAAACAACAGCTCTGATTACATTGACTCGACCCAATGTAACCCACCCTCGGGGTAAGTTGTGCCATTTGACCAAGAGTTTTTGCCCACCCACCCAACCCCCACGATTTTAGTCCGGCATAGTACTTTGGCTGGATAATGGTTGTTAATTTTGAACAACTTCTTAGTAGTGAAACCAATTTTGACAGCAGATTATGGATACTTTGGACTCCAGAACTGTTTTTGTAGCAAGTGGCACAACTTGGCCCCTCTAATTCTATAACATATTATGTTCACTAATTATGAAAGTTAGATAGGATTAGTTAAACACATTCCAATATGTTGGGGGTACAACCACAAGATCTGTGATAATTTTTCGGGGAACATAGTTTCTGATAGAAGGGGTCCTAGTAAAGATATTTGAAGTTTGCTACTTCTGAAAATGGTCTGAAATAGAGTTTAACAAATATTATTGATGAAATAAATCATTTTTTACTTTTCGCGCCAATTTCGGTCATGATTTTGGATTTTGGCCTCCATTTTGGATCCATTGTTTGCGAGATGAATCGGAAATTGTCCGAAATAAGTCAGGTGACCACCAAAACCAATAAAATGATATATTACACCATTTCGCGGGGAATAAGGTTTGACGATGGTTTCTGATAGAAGGGGAGAAACCATGTTCCCAGAGTGATATTTAAACAAACTGATAATCGTTCCAGCTCATTTTAACCGCAATTTCTGTGTTTTATTTTTATACAGGTACGTGAACAACCGTTTTATATACAATTCACCTTTAGCTGCTTATAATGATCCAGCCAACGAACGAGTACTAACAGAAGCTAAACTACGGGAACAGGGTGTGATTACGGTTGGCTTTGATGTAAGATTGTATTATAATATATTTACAGCTACGAAATAAGTAAAATACAATATAATTACAGTAATTCGCACAGAAACTTTAAATAAACAATTTGCTCTTAAAAACCTCTCAACGGTAAGGATGATACCTATTGTTTTATGTGCATGCCGACCCACCAGAGGCAGAGCCACGCCCATTTCTTGTATTTGTGTATCGTCTGCAGTTCGCATTTCTGAACGTATCATCTTGAAACTTTGCATACTTATTCTTTGTGCCCTAAGGAACACCCCAATTGTTTGTGGTGCATGCCCAGCCCCAGGGGCAGAGCCACGCCCATTTTCTTTTTGTGTGTCTGTGTGTTGCATACGCGCCGCGATTCCTAATGGATCGACTTGGAACTTGGCATATATATTCCTGCAAGTCTCGATCCCCAGGAGCAGAGCCACGCCCAATTGTTGTGTTTATTGTATACAGGCTGAATTCTAAATGGATCATCCTGGAACTTGGCATATTTATTCCTTATACTGTAAGGATAGCAACTATTTATTTTGGTGCTTGTCCAGACCCACAGAGATGTGGTCCCCCACTTTTTTGTTAATTTGTATCAGTAAATACTCTACAGGTTGCAATAATTAACAAATTTTGCTAAAATTCAGCATATCAGTCATTTCAATAACACGTTGGTACCTATTTATATTGTTCCATGTCCAACTCCCAGGTTCAGAGCCATGCCCAAGTTTTGTATTTATTGTCTACAGGCTGCAATTTTGAACGGAACTATTTATTTTGGTGCATGACCACTTTTATGTTAATATTTAGTCTGTAAATTTGGCAAAACAAACCCAACGCCTAGCCTTCTTTGTTGCCTCTTGTCATATTGCAGCCATTTCATATTTCAATCTCTTTATTTTAAAAAGTGCCATATCAATCAAAGCAGGAATGTGGACGTATATTGCAGCGGTAGCGATGCTCTTGTATTTGATGTCCCACTTCACCACAGAATTGACAAATTATTATGTGTTCTTTTAAGTTAACATGCCATTGTTGACTCTTATGCTCTTTCTTTAAAGCACCGATTCCCATAAGATTTATTTTTTCTTGCACCTTTGTATTACAATATGATATTATTTTTCCCCCCAAGATTTATTGTGACATTAGAGCAGGTAGACGCGCGAACGGAGCAGCAGGACTTCCATCTACGAGTAAACCCATATTTATTGGTATAGAGGTTAGTTCCATCCTGATATTTTTATATTTAAAGATACATTATGTAAGATTTAGATAAAGAATCATTATTGCTATAATAGTTCGAAAATAGATAATGTAAAATGAATAATTTGAAAATTCCATTCAAATTACTCTTTTGCGAGCGAAGATATTAGCTTTTAAAAGTTTGACAAGACGTGTGCAATAATTTCAACCACCGTACTGATTGTTCTCATCCAAATCTCGCTCCTCCATTTTTAGCTTAAATCAAAATATGGCTGAACTGTTCTAATCTATTTAATATCGGAGAAATCCGATGCCATCGAGAGTTGATTATGGCCTGGATACGTTAATTAATAGATTTTCGTCGGATCCTCCTGTTTCCTCCCACTGATAAAAACCCCTACGCGCAAGCAAATTATTGAAATAAAATTGAACCATGTGTTAGTCACGAAATGACGAGTGGACGTTAAACCCCATATCTCTCTCTCGCTCGCTCTCTCTCTCGTCTGTCCGATAAACACGGGACCTAAAAAAGCTATATAAATTTATCTGAATTATTTGAACTACCACTCGTGAAGTTGAAAACTGGCCCCAGCTTCCGGGGCTTATTTATATATTTCTGAACCATTCATATTACAAACTTATACAAAATATCCAAAATATATTTTACAGGTTTTGACACCCGCGGTTACCATTAAAGAGGGAAACTCTGGCCGGATCTGGATTAGAGCTACAGCTAGCATTGGGTGTCCCGACGCACCATGCATATATGGTGTCACGGCCAATATACCAACAGGGTCTGATACCTGCTCCCCAACAGTTCGTGCAGATACGGCTTGTGGGGTGGCCATTGATCCTGACAATTGGGAACAGATTTACAGTATCAAAGTTACTGGTACAATTACTGAAGATGGATATGGGCAACACACCAATGTTATGAAAATCACACTTCGTTCTCCAGATCGTTACTTTGGACACCTAATATGGGGAAATTATACTTTAGCCCCCGTTACGGTAAGTCCTTGTATGTTACATTTCAAGTGGGACAGATAACGTCCTACATTTTGGCACCCACTGGGCTAATAAAGATGGGCACATCACCGTGGCTCCTGTAGATATAGGCAAGTCAGTCAGATGGAAACATGTTTATTTGAAGAGTCGTGATATTTAGAAATTTTTTATTCACTTCTTGCATCTGAACAGTTTTATTCCGTAAAAGTAAATTTTCCGTACTTCGAGTGTGCCCCAAACATGAAAACATATTTAAGACATATTTAAAAAGTGTTAATTTCATCTCTTTGTTAAAGGGGTCATTTGAAATTGGTATGGGTTGGTAATTTATCGCGGAGTTATCAAGACTGACCTCAATCCGTTATCTCAGTAAGAGTTTTAGATTTGTTATTATAACTTGTTGTAGATCTAATAACAGACAGCTTTATGGATGACATTCACTAGGTTTATTAACTGTAACATTTCAATGAGGTTACTCTCACCGTTATCAAGCAATGATACAATCAACATGTTACAGAAGGTTATATACAAACAGATAACAATAAACTAATTAACAAAATAAGGCCGAAGCCATTCAATGTCATACCTAAGTAAACTATTAATAATCAATGAGAAACCCTTAAAGGGGGGATGGAATGTACAAATCATGCTAAAACAACAACCGATCATAATTAAACCCTTAATTTCCATATTGTCAATAAAGATTACAAAATTTAAAAGTAAAGATTAAATTATTTAAAAAAACTATGAATGAGAAACCATGTTATTGTTGATACCATTAATGACCCTCTCCATTAGACAGCAAGATGTAGCCAATCACAAATATTATAACAAAATATATCTAGTGGTCTAACTTATGCAGAGTTAAAAACCATAATAAAGGGAAATAAACATATATGACTCTGTTAAAAGGTTATCCAAAAGTTAAAACATTAAAACACAAATAAAACACAACTGCAACAAACCGGTAAGGTTGTTCCATATGAGTGACAGCTCAAGGGTGGCGTTTGGGACTTGAACACGTAACAAGCACAAACCAATATTATAGACCCCAAAAAAGTGTTTTATTCCCTTTTCCTCAAGAGTTGTTATGTTCACAAGGAATAGTGAAGAGACATAAGGTTAACACATTCCACTCTTATGATCACAGTAAGTCTCGCACATTGACACTTTTACACGGAGCACGATTTAGTTAACGTTTCCTAAGATTAATGAGTCATATGCGTGTGGTAGATATACTCCAGTGTCCCGGCTGAGTTCAGGCTGGTTTCTTCTGATGTGAATAGCTTCAATAATTTTTCTGTTTTTTTTCTGGTGTTGGTTTACTGCTAGCGTTCGCGTCAAGTCCCAATTCACATGATGTCGTCTGTTATCACTGAGATGTTCGGCCACTGCTGATTGGTTATATGCTGCTAAGGATTGGTGTTCTTTGATTCTTTTAACCAACGGGCGTTTCGTCTCACCTATGTATTTTTTATTGCATGAGCAGGTTATTTCGTAAATGCAACCCTTGGGTGGTGGTTGGTTCGTCTGTTCTTTTTTACCATTTGCTGACAGTATGTTCTGGATTGTTTTGCCACTAGAGAAGCAGACCTCTATTCCTGCCTGTTGAAGTAGTCTTCTAATCTGGTATGATCTGGAGTCAATAAAGGGGAGGGATACCCTTATACCACTCGTAGCTGGTTTGGCCGGTTTTGGAATATTAGCATTGTCGTTTGTCACTTCTCTAATGGCTTGGTTTACCAAATGTGCAGGGTAATTATTAAGTTCGGCGAAGACTTTCCGTAAATGAGTTAATTCTATGGATAATGAATCTGCTTGACAGATAGTGGTGGCGCGCTTGGTGAGAGTTGAAACAATAGCCTTCTTAATGTTTAATGGGTGATGTGAGTTGAAATGTATATATTGGTCTGTGTGAGTGGGTTTACGGTATACTGACGTTTTAAGGCTGTCTCCATCTTTAGTGATTAATACGTCCAAGAATTGAATTTCACCTTCTTCTTCAGCTTCCATAGTGAAGTTGATTCTGTCTGTCTGGTTGTTGAGATGTTGGAGGAGTTTGTTGGGGTCATCATCTTTGTTGAGCGCGACAAAAGTGTCATCCATTTTCAGATACCAGACGATAGGGTTGATGACAGATGTCTTTAAGGATTCTTGTTCAAGTGACGTCATAAACACTTCGGCGACCAAAGGTGAGAGGGGGCTACCCATGGGTAAACCATGAATCTGCTCATAGAAGTCGTCCCCCCATCTCAAATAGGTAGAAGAAATACATACTTTTATCAGTTCTATGATACCATCGGTGCTGAGAGTTGTATTTAGTGGCGTATCAAGGTTGTTTATCCTATCTCTAAAAAGTTGTAATGTGTGATCGCGGGGCACATTTGTGAAGAGGTCTACTACATCATAGGAGATGATCGTGCAGCCAGAATTAACCTGTCTTATTTTCTCGCAGAATTCGCCTGAGTCTTTTATAAATGAATCTGCTGTTTTTCCTAGAGGTGACAGGAGCTTGGAAAGGTATTGGGAGGTATTGTAAAAAACGGAGTTCCTGGAGCAAATAAGACTGGGTCTTTGTGGATCTTGATGGTCGCTCTCGCATAAGGTGGCAATGGGTGTGAAGGTTTAAGTTTGTAATATAAACTATTATCCAGTTGGTTGTCGTCTTTCAGTTTGGTCAATACCTTGCGTAGGTTAGCTTCATGCCTTGCGGTTGGGTCCTTGCGAATCCTACGGTAGGTGGTATTTTCATTTAGTAAGTTCTCTACGGTCGACATATAGTCAGACTGGTCCATTATGACTGTAGCTTTACCCTTATCCGCTGGGACAATGGATATTGTCTTATCTGACTTCAGTTGTTGAAGGGCTTGCTGTTCTGTTGCTATCATATTTCCTGTTGGTTTGTGTGGTGATTTCTTAAGCAAAGTTGTAATTTGATGTCGAAGGTAGTCTGTTTTCCCCCCCGGTGCCAGTTGACGAATCCCCTTTTCAATGTTGGTGATGTAATTATCATAGTTCTTGGGTTTGGTGGTTGGTATGAACTTGAGTCCTTTAGACAGAAGGGTGTCCAGATCATTAAATTATTGAAAAAAGTGATTGGATGTATCTAAGATGTATTTAACGTCATGTCAACAATGTACTTTTCTATGGCAGTATATTAGACTCAAAATTCTAACATCCTATCGTCTAATTTCTAACTTCTATTCATGTAATATTTGAAATAGTAATTCAATTTGTAAACCATGTCACGTTCGATGTTGTTTTCAATTTCCACACTCCGCCAAACCATTCAACCTGACGAAGAGCGAGTCGTTGGTATCAAAATAATTGTCCCCATCACACGGCGGCGACACAAAACGACGTCATAATGATGGTTGCTAAGTAGAAGTATCAAAATTCTAAATTTGTTTGGCTTTCATGCTTAACATGTAAAGCGACAACAAAGTAGACATTTTTCGTCTTAATAATAGAAATAAGATGAAACAGAATTAAAATTTACACTGAACAAAAAAAAGTTGGATTATACATTGTCTTAATTTATAAATTACATGACTAGAAGTTAGAAATTACATGAATAGAAGTTAGAAATTACATGAATAGAAGTTAGAAATTAGACGATAGCATGTTAGAATTTTGAGTCTAATATACTGCTATACTTTTCGGCATCCATCTGCTGTTTCATACCAACTTTGGATTAATTTTTGTTGCCTTTTTTTTTAGGTGAATGTAATAAAAGATACTAAGGCTATAGAATCACGACATTGCATTGTATTAAGCGGAGGATTTGTTTTCACTTTCGGTAAAAGGTAACGTTTCATATAATGAATAGATACCTAGATGAATTGTCGCCACCTCACTTAAAGATACATTATGTAAGGTTTAGATAAAGAGCTGACCATTCTTGCTATAATAGCTCAAAAATAGATAATGTAAAATGACAATATTGAAACTTTCATTCAAATTACTTAATTCTGAGCCCAGTTATCAGGGCACTGGTATGTTCGAGAGTTAGCCTCGCTTTCCCATTTTTAAATTAAATTTTTAAATGACGAATCGTTCTTATCTAGTTAAAATCTTTTTAGTATTCGTTGCCATCTAGAGTTGATTATTGTTTTGTTTTATTAATAAATGTCTAATTAATAGTTTATATAAAATGTCAGGCCTAAAGAAAGACCTGCAATAGGCAGATTTAGCTCTTGCATAATGTATGTTTAACCATTTAATGTCCGTAGATCAGTTCACATTTCCGTCTTTCGGTGTTAATGAGCGTAATACCAGTGACACATGACGAGTTGACGATGGCTATCCTATTATGAGTTTTATTCACTTTGATCGCCTTAATAAAAGAAAAACAATGTAACCGTAAAAATCACAGTAACTATTTTGTCTAGTTTGTTTAACAGATAATACAAAATATCATTTCAACATTACAAAATCAAATAATACTTAAGCTAGGTTCCCACTATCACGATTCGTGCTACGATTGAAATCGTGGTTTTAATTGTGGAGTAATCGTGGTGATCCTATCAAGTCTTATATATTGAGGTCAGTCGTAGCATTCGTGTTGATCCTATCGAACGTATCCGAATGCATCTGCACGTAGCAGACCGTGGGCATAACAGGGACAATCCTATTGTAACGCATCGCATGACAGTGGAAACCCATGTCCCTGAAGCAACGACTGCTAGTTTGACAACATCTGGACGTTGCTTGTTTACTTCACAATTCCCGAACGTATAGTTACAGACACGTGGGCGTCCAATCAGAGGTTGCGACATCGCGACCTCCATGGAAACCTTGACATTGAATAAACCTTGAATTGTGCAACTCGATTATCACAGGTGGACATTTTAGCTTGAAAGCGCGAGACTTGGTATTTGCGACGACCGCGGAATGTGATAGGCACCCAAAGCAAGCTGGGCTTGTACCCAATCGAAATAAGTGCCGAAATGTGCAGGGTATTACATGAAGGCCCTGATAAAATGTACGTAGTTAAAGCGAGATCAGGCCTTCTATTGAAGACGATGGAAACCTAGCATTATAATTGTATGTACTAACCACGAGCCATGCAGTTAAAATATCGTAAATGATCCATGAATAATATAACCACTGAATGAATGTGTGCTTCTCCCAAAATCCATCATTAGAGTGACTATACAAATTCATCCCACCACCTCCCCTATGAAATACAATCTTGTTCGCAACCAAAAAACACACATGTAAACATAATAAAAGATTCAGACTTAGCAAATATTATCTATCAATGTACATCTTACTAATAAACTACAAAAATTGTTATAAATCGAACTTCACTAGCATAAACCGAAAACAGTTAGTATAAACTGTAATAAACAAAAATAACAAAAGATACATTTATTAATTTAGTAATACCCGTGGTCTTGAAATATACATCAATACCAGTGTGAATATACACCGACTTTTGTGACACTCACGGGTAACTGCCGTAAATTAATAAGATATTGTCATATTCACGTAGAGATACGGCTGTATTTAATGTGTTTGTCGCCCGTGTTTGTTTGTCAGACATTTCTTGTGAACACCCTATACTCTTCCAGCTCTTGTGATTTGTTAAAACTTAATAGGATCATTTTTCTTCATTCACAAAGCTAGGAGTTATCTCTCTATTTATGCTCGGACTAGGAAAATTTTGTGAATGTGATATAAAAACAATTCTTCATATAATTTATTTTAAATTCAGCGAGATGGTCCTTTGGGAATACTATTTAATTTTGCCTATTTACATTACATTTACATAATTTGACTTTTAAAGCTTCTGAACGCGATTGGGACAACAAGTTAATGCATAGAATCCCCATAGATTCGTATTTATTTAAATCATATATTTTGGACACTTCAATAGGATTTTTAAAAACTTAGGAAGAACGTGCATTGGGCTATAAGGAAGAATCTTCTTGGGTTTCTCCCGTCACATTATACCTTAAAAACCCAGTACAGTGTTCTTAGAGTTATTTGAAACTTACCTTGATGGATTTATTGACAATAATATGACTTTGCTGCTGCTGAAATTTATATAGTTTCGGACAGACAAGCCCGCGTTTATTTTGAGATATTTGTCGAAATTACTGAACTCGCCCAACTACTCATTGCATGAACTCTAATGTAACGTAGAGTGATTCATCAAAGTCATGTAATCGCTCTACAGGCCAGAGTTAGCTATATACTAATATTTGTGACTGTCGTCTGTCCGTTTGGGCAGGGTTGGCGGCTGAGGGAAACATACGCCTGGTGGTGTTTGGACTATCGCTTCCGTATTCAGAGTTATACTACTTTCAACCCCGGCAGCGCCGGGTCATGCGTATCGAAATTAATGGTACCACATCAATCACTAAAAAGTTATTGCCGTTTTTTTTTTTATCGAAACCGGTAATAGCTCTATAGGCTATCAGTCTTGTACATACATGTGTATGTGCCATCTTTCAGTGTTGCTGTACATGGTGAAAACATGGTAATATGAACATTGAGATATCTCATGTATCGAATTAAAATAAAACCAAGTACGAACAATCCAAACCATAAGACAGAATTCGAAGTCCTAAAAAACGTTATAGGCAAAATAGTGTATTCAAGCGAAATAGTGTAATCAGCAAATGGACTGCTCCTCGTGTACAAAATACACGACAAGCAGTGGTAACAGGTGTCCGGAAGAGTAAGCCTACCCTGCCTGGCGCCACACCCGTCATAGCTGCATCCAAACTATTAGGCGAAATGTCGGTAAAATAGCGTGATTGGCCAATGAACTATCGGTATGCAATATACACGCGATGAACTGTGTTAACGATGTAGTAGACATAATCAGGGAGATAGTAATAGTATACGGGTCAATTAAATATATCTAGAATAATAGCCGAGAGAGACACGTTATATTTACCAATCAAATCAATATGACGGCCATAAAACTTTTTAAAGGTTTTAATAAGTTTAGTGCGCAAGTATCCTTGTAGTTGAAGCTTAGATGACAAATGCCTCGATCTACTTAAAAAATCAGACTAAAAGGAGAACAAGCTCTCGCGTAACGGATTAGCTGAGACACAAACACTCCATAAGCTGGTGATATTGGAATGTTACTACTAATAAATGGAATTAACAATCGGAAAGTCAAAGTCATCACGTTTATCGTACAATTTAACACTCAGTTTATTGCAATTGTCAAAATCGAGACGCAGATCCAAGTAGGAAGCGTAATTGTCACTGTCAGTGGTGTTTTTAATTTCGAGCTCATCAGGATATATGAATTCTACATAATCACTAAATTTAGGATTTTTAAGTGATAAAACGTCATCAATATATCGATAAGTGAAATTAAAAAGTCTGACTGATCGTTTATTTGTTTTTACGAGCGTCTTTATGTAATCGGCTTCGTACGAATAGAGAAACAGATCAGCAAGCAAAGGTGCACAGTTGGTGACCTTGGGGATGCCAACAACTTGCTGATATATTTCCCCTCCAAATTCAACAAAGATGTTATCAATTAAAAAATCCAACATCTGAATTATCTTGATGGCCGTGAATTTGTTTTTGGAATCACTGTGAGAAGGGCTGTAGAACACGCATGTGATATCCCTCCATGATCTCTTAATATCGTTCCATATTTTTATCTTTATACATTTCAGTGGTGTGTTACTTTCAATTCCTGAAACATTTACCATGTATCAGAATAATGACTATAACATAGAGGTAAACTATATTTATTGTTAATATTGCTAAATCTCATAACAGGTTTAAGCCATCCGTTATATTGAATATTAGTTGTTGATATTTGATTGTGAAGAGTTTGACTCTATGTGTTTTTATAAGGACCAGTGTCTCACAGATTAAAAATACACAGAGTGGCGACTCGCATTACGTCCCATAGAAACACATCGACGCGCAATGCATCTTGGGAATTGTCTGTAATAAACACACACTGACAGTTCGCTCAACGCCGTTACGATATCTATATCGATGAACTAAATCTCTTTAATTTCGTAGTTTTATAGTATTTTCGGTAACAAAACTACTGAGAATTGTCACATACAATGATACTATGTTAGTTGTGTGTGTGTTTCGGGAATTTATAAAACATGATTCATATCTTTAAAACATGCTTTAAAACATGCATAAAGCGTGGTACGGGCCAGACTGATGTGAGACGGAGACGAGAGACGGCATTTGTGACGGTTTACGAATTGGTCTAATCAAGGCCGTAAATTATTGTCGATTTTTAAGAGGTTTTATTAACTTTGAAACTATTCCACCAAATACTTGTTGTTTCCATTCCTAAATTTGAAATGTAATTTCCATACACCTTAAAATGGGCCATTTGAAAATGTCAAAGTGTCACGCCTTTTTTTGGATAAGGCCTATTTTACTCAACATCAACATGATTTATTTTTTCTCCCAAAGAAAAATTCCTTTTTCTTCTAGATCTTATCACTGCGTGCTTCTCTTATTTATGTTATGTTAATAAAGTAAGCTTTCATTCAAATATAAAATAATAATTTAAGAATATAAAAATTGAATTTCAAATAGGCATATAACGTTTTCCAATAAACAGATTTGAGCCGTTGGTTGTTTTCCAAGATAAAATACCTTTGGCTCCAACGTTGACTCAAGGTGTGCTTTTATGATTTTTGTTCTATTAATTAATGTAGGCTTTCATTTTTAAAAAAATAAAATAATTAAAGATATTAAAATTCTATTTTAAATAGGCCTATAACATTTTTCATTAAACATTATTTGAGTTGATTGGTTTCTCTTTTTACAAACAAGTATAAACCAAAAACAATATTTTGCATATTGCTCTGGGTGTCATGTAATGTTTTGACGGCCTTTATAGGCCCCCTAACACTATGAAATTGTCCATTTTACACTACTGCACAAGAATATATTAAATTATTATAAATCTGAAGTTTGCTCTACATATCAATGCCATTAGGTCTGATCTGTGTTCAGAGTTACTTTTATTTTTGTGATTTTTTTGTCAACTGATTATTTAGAAATATAAATTTTAATTTATACTGTGTACTATTATGGAATTATCTGCCATACAAACTGAGGTTAACCATACAGCATACTATTACTAGATAATCACAGAGTAAATTAAAATTATTTTGAATTACTAAATGGTTTAAAATTAGTGATAGGGCTTCAGTAAATATTTTATTGGTCGGATTAAGGCCTACCAGTAAAAGGGGAAATGTGATTTTGAATAGCATAACAGTATTAGGCTTACTGTTTTATTAAAAGCTTATTGCAACTGAAAATTGAGCAAAATAAAATTTTTGTTATGAAATTTGGAAACATACCATAAACTTAACATTTAAAAACAAATAAAATCTACAAACACAATAATAGGCCTACAGTCTACCGAATAAAATAAATTTAGATTCATATGTTGTCATTAAAAGCAATTGAAAAAGAATCATGTGCGAGGGAACTAACTATATTTTCTGAAGAATCTGATTATCCGGTCTTTTACATTATCATAGACAAAGTCTAAGAGAGGTACCTAGTCCTAATACAAGCTATTGACGCCCATGGAAGTAATTTAAGAATGTCATTTCAGAAAATCCATTCAAAAGTTTTTATTGTAAAATTTCTCTCGTCATGCGCCATGTCTATATTGTTTTGTTTATTTTAATAAATCCTAATTCGTCGTCACGATTCATGTTTGTTTATATCAATGCAAGAATTATGGGATTTATTGCAGCAATGTGGGCAACCCTTACTTTACTTGGCCAAACATACTGGATAATGAACCACATAAAACTCCCAGTTACGCATGGGCGATGAAATTTTTCGTCAAATATTGACAACGATCCCAAATCCGCCGTACGCTGAAGACTAGGGGTTTCTGGGTGACCGAGGCTTCAAACAATATTAACAATAAGGGAGAATCTCATGATTCGATTAAACATCGTAAAACATCAAAGGCTGCGAGCCTCCATACTCTTCAGATGCAAATGTTGGCCAACAGAAAGCTCATTATGTGTTTTGTATTCATCCTAGCCGTTTCATGCCACGAATATCTAGTACTAAATCCTAATAGGAACACCTCCCACTTTCTGGGTTACACTAAATTACCTGAATTTAACGAGGAATGTGGTAATCTGAATTCCATTACCTCTGCCCAATACTTCTAGTTTCTTCGGTATCAAGGAGCCATTGTGGCTCAGTGAGTAAAACACTGGCTGGATAACATTTTCAGAAGGTTCGACAAACCAAGGCCCAGCGTACATGTTGACATGCACGTAAAAGTACCCTTGAAGGTATCGCCACTGTTCGGGCATATTTTCCTAATGGCACACTATATGGCGTATGTCCGTCTTCTTTAGCCCAGTGGATTTGTTTTTTTTTTAAAAAGTGGATGCAGAAAAGTGGGATGTTTAACCCGCCATTTCATTTTATTATTTTGCTTTTTCAGGTTCAAATAAAAGCCTACCACTGTTCTTACTATGGGAATCTCTACTGTGTTTGTGGTATAGTCGTTCGAGTTGGACAGACAGTTTTTATGATAAATCATTGTTCCATTGATTATTGGTTTATTGATTATATTCTGTGTAATGATGGTGGTGATATTCTCGACGTTAGAGGAATTGATGATATTTACAGGGTAATAATATATGTTTATATCTTTTTGAAGTGTCTATCCTTGCAAAAGTCGACATTCGAATCCAAGACTGAAATTACAGACATTGTTCCGCTTTGATCGATGAGACGTCGTATACCAATCCGGACAACGCTTTCAAGTGACCAACGGTTGATTGGCATCGTTTTATTTTATATCTCAACCAAACTTGTTTCTATATTTTCATCATAAATTATTAACGTTTTTTATGGATTTTCAGATTATATTATCAACAGGGGCATATTTTGAAATATATATTAATAGTACGGGATCAACCCTGAATGTATTTATGAATCCATCTGTGGTAGATTTTGGCGTGAGTGGAGGGCTGTGTGGTAATTTAACTATCATGAATTACAACGAATTAGTATTAAGAAGTGGAAGTATAACCACTGACGATGAATCTTTCTTTGATTCCTGGAGGTTAGTAAAACTAATAAAACCTATTTGCCAATATGCCTTTAAAGGAGCATTAGGTAAGATTAAATAAAGACCCGACAGTCAGCGTTATAATAGTTACAAAATAGATAATAAAAACAGAATGTGCTGAAAATTTAATTCAAATTGCTTCACTCTGAACCGCGATAATAGCGATTTTATATTAAGCTGAGAGTCAGCGTTATAATAGTTAAAAAAATAGATAATCAAAAAGAATGTGCTGAAACTTGGTACCGTTGGTACGGTAATAAACAAGGTCTCGATTATCCATTTTCACGTTAAATAATCCATCACAAAACGTATTCAACTCCACTAAATATCATGGTATTGATAAGTTAATTAATAATTTAGATAACATTTAATTCCCAAAGAAAGAATTGCAATAGGCAGATTTAGTTCTTACATGATATATGTTTAATGTTTCCTTCTATATAGCCGGGGACGGTTTGTAGTAAATGACGAGTTGGTGATAACAAATACACAACAAATGATAATGACATAATAATCTATGGCGGGATTTAATGGTCAAAACTAGATATATGTTGAAAGTGTTATCATACATTACAGAAAATGCCTAAGATACAAAACAAAAATGGTGTTACACTTTAAAATGATAATTACATAATGCCGTCAATGTAAAAGTCAAATGTCAAATTACAAATGTTTTTTTATATACTTCCACTAATGTTACTAACAATTAACATAACCTATTCACAGGTCAGGTACACTTCAACAAAGAAGAAATTTTGAGGTCAAGGTCGTCCGCTTATGTGTAAGGCAAGATTTCCGGAATCATCGATCGTCCGTCTTCCCAGCCAGCTTACCTGAATAGGTTTTTGTAATATAAGTATTTGACATACAACTCTATCTGAAACATTATCGTTAAATAAAGTAAAGATCTCTCTCAGTATCTGTAGGTTTCAATGTTTTTAAGAAGAGAACATGTAAATAGTGTTTGCGATGCTCATTATTGAGAGTTATTTGGATAACTATGCCCGAAATTTCAAATATCATGTGATGTAAGTACTTAAAGACTATAGGTAATATAAAAATAATACTCTTAATAACAAAACATATTATAGGCATATTATTACTATATACGAAATATTAACTCACCTAAAAATAGTAGAGTTCTAAATAAAATATATGTACTGATTGCAGTGTAACTGATAATGCCCATATTTTCTCAAACTTTCTCATCCGTTCAGAAATTTACTTGGAACTACATCAAACATGTTAAGAGGATTATAATATAATTCTAGAAAAATAGCCCGTTGAATTAGCAATTGTAAACAACTTAGTAGGTTAAAGTAGCTAAGTCTCTAACTCCTCTAAAGTCTTCGACATTGAAAACACAAATCATTTGTCGGTTTAAATCAACATTGATGTGATCTTGCCCGGGAAAAATGAGCTTCTGATATTTAAGACAAAATAAACATTTAAACATTGATACACGAATCGTGTACCGTAATGCGTTTCAGCGCCATCTGTAGCAAGGAACTCGAAGAACGAGTCATGTCAAACGGTGCCGTCATATTCTTATCTGTTGTTGTTGTTCTTAGTATTTAACGTCCGCTTCCACCGAAGGTGATGTCGCAGCCAAGTCTTATTTTTCATTTTTATTATCTTAGCGCAGGGGTCTTTCCTGTGGGAGGAACCAAGAGTAAACCCACGAGGTTGAGAAGGCGTCCCTATCTCCAAGCTACATACGCTCACACCAGGGATCGAAACCACAACCACAAGCCAGAGGTGACCGGCCATCCGAGCCCCAAGTATCTGGAGAGCATGCGCAATAAATACTTCCGGTGTAAACTGGAATAAACAGATGCTAGAGGTTGCCATTCAATTGGGGCTTAACTGATTTGAAATTAGAGTAAAAATGGAAACGGTTGATTGTAAATCAGTTTATATACATTCATATTATATACTAAACAGCAAAAAAACAACGTCAGTACGATTTCAAAATCAGAGAGGCACTTTAATCAAATGATTCTAAATAGATCAAAGCAAATTTTTTGTGAACAGTATGTTGACACAAGGGCTGGCCAGTGTATAACGTTGACATCGTTCTGCTGTAGAAAGTCCCCAGTAACTCTGGCGGTGTGGGCACGGGCGTTGTCATGCTGGAAAACGTTGTTTCGATGACGTGCGAAATGTTGTATGACGTGGGGTCTGAGAGCTTGATCAATGTAGCGCATTGCTGTAATGCCGCCTAGTCTCCCTGGACCAAGATTTTGGAACACCACAGGACTCACTCTCTGGTTTAGGCCCATTCCACCCCAAACCATTATGGTTGGACCTCCGCATGAGTGTCAATTCATTACACATCGGTCAGAATAACACTGGCCACGTCGACGCCATATAATATTCTGGTCCTACAATCTACAGTTGATACGCAATACCGACTCTCATCTGTGAACAGAACAGTTCTCCATTGCATATGTCGCCAGTTCTGGTGCCGTTGAGCAAACTGTAGACGTTCACGTCGATGGCGAGGGGTGAGGATCGGTCCACGGTAAGGTCTACGGCAATGGATGTTCTCTCTGGTGAGACGTCGGCGCACTGTATCGGTACTGATGGGTCTTCCATGAGTTCCCACTGTCGGACGTGCTGTCTCAGATGCCTGTGCGAAGGGATTCTGCACGTGTTGTCGCACAACATGAAGGTCTTGTCGCCTTGTGGTAAACCTTGGTCTAACAGATCGGGGCGATCATCCGTGGTGTTAGTGGCCCGAAAGCGTTGCTGAAGGCTGTAGATGGTCCGAACATTGACTTGGAAGTGATTGGCAACGGCTTGGGCAGTGTGGCCAGCGTCGAGTCGTCCAAGCGCCTCTGAGCTGTCGTGAGTCATGGCATGCTGCTGAAGTTGTAGCGTGAATGATCCAACCAGGTATGGGGGTGCATTTTATAGGGCTGGTCCCAGTGAACAGCACGTGCAGCATGAGTTATATAAAAATCACGGAGAACACATTACCATCTCAGAAGTCAGGTTGTGTTTTTGAGAACATTTCCTGGGTTTAATTCTCTGTTTGGGAAGGAGCCTTATTGATCAGGTAAAGTTGGAGATGTGGTCACAAATATACAATAAAAACATTTATGCAATGCGTCTATTCAGCCTAACATACCAACCTGACGTTTCTTTTGCTGCTTAGTATATATGCGCGATTTAAAGAAAGAGCTGGCTGTTCTTTCTATACAGGAGTCACGGTGGATAGGTGAGTAAGACGCTGGCTCGCTAGTCTGGGGGTCGCTCCCAGTGTTAGCTGAGAAAGTTCATCGGGATATTCTGGCATGCTTACTTATGAGGCAGTTTATTTCTAGGACTCCTGTTGGTGAAGATATGTTTAATTCAGACAACTTGGGTATGCGCAGGGCGTGGCCTCCTAATTATACCACATGTAAATGCAATTCGGTACCTGGTGGCGGCGTCACAAATGAAATCGATTGTTCACCACACAACGAATCAGTTACTTGTAATGAGGATGTAGACTTCAGAACAGTTGACAAGAAACGCTGCATTTCACCAGCCCGCAAGACGGGATCGTTACCCACAATAAGAAACCGGCCCGTGAATCATAGACGAAATAAAAGGGTAAATTATACATACATTATTTTGTTATAAGATAAGCAATAACTCGCTTAAAAACGACACCTTGAAATTTCCGTGTGGCTAACTTGATGTCATTTGTTTTTACAAACTGATAACATTTCTATTAATGTTTATCAACGTGTAGAAGAAGAAAATCAACTTTTAGTAGCATGGATGTCGTGTACCAGGCAGGATGTTTACTCGCTCTAAAACACCTTATGACAAGTTCTTCGCATTTTAGTTTGAAAATTCATAACTATTTTTGCATTATATACTTTTCAAAAATAATGATGTATCAGGTGTTCAAGCCTCAGTAGCTGGTGCTCAACCCGTGGCGAAAATTTGGAACTGGAGCTCGGAAAGTAATAGTTTGTTCAAACACCACACACACACTGAAGCTCGTCCAATATTTAAATGTTTAAGGAAGCTAAATCCTATGCAATGTATATATTCTTCAAAAAAAATTAGCGGATATTGAAATGCAAATGCAAATGCAGGTTGTGATATGATAAATAGTCATGGACACTTGACATGCTTTGAGAGTTTGTTCACAGATGAAGAATTTATCGCCCCAAACAGAACCATTGAGCTGCACATGCGACACGCAATAGTGCCATACACGTGGGAGGGGTTCATTGTAAAATTTGACACTTCAAGGAAGGGATGATGAAAACTGCCGCGTGCTGGTTTATCTATCCATGTTTGCTTTCCTATCGGTTCTTGCATACAATTTACTGTTTAGCGTATCTTTGCTTTAGTGTGTTATATTTAATTTGATCGGGAGACGTCAACGTCAACCCTGCAAAAATTGACCATGACACTGCAAGAGTGGGTCAGAGTGCCCCAAATCGTGATTGGACGGTTGATTAAGAGCATGCCACGACGAATTGTTGAATATCTGAGGATTGATGGAGCAATTACTCATTATTAAGACAAAACGGTGTATCTCTTTGCGAGTGAAATGGGGCCATCAGATAAGCCGCTCATATGAACTGTTTATGTTACTGGTTACCTCTAATAAAAACAGCAGTGCATTTCCGCAGTTTTGTATTGTTTCTCAATATCCCCAACTTTTTTTAAGAGTATATATTCATTACATCGGAAAATACTACAGTATTACAGTTATTAGGTGGATTTATCACTGTACAAGACATGTCATCGATATCTTATAACGATTTCGTATCATTACAGAATGTAAATTGGAAGAATGGATGGACCCATGAGTCTGCTACGGATTATTGTGACAATCTCTTTAAGTCTTCAAATATGATTAATCTGTGTAAAGAGGTACCTGACGTCGATGTTTCATTTCCCATGGCAAATTGTGTTCTTCATATTCAGGTAAATAAAACTCACGTGATCAAATCTATAGTCTTCTTTACTATTAAACACATAGAATAATGTCCTTTGGTTGTGAAGCTTCACAATAGTTTAAATAACCCCAATAAAACGCCATGTTGGATAATTTAAGATTCGTTTTTCGTTCAATTTAGCTATACTCCATAGTTTATACACATTTGGAGGTGTTATTACTTTAATTAGTCTATGACTTAACAAAGTATTATAAATAAGTAACTGTGTGTTGAAAGGTATTAATCTATTTAGTTTTAATTGTGCATTTATGTGTATACCTGAACGTAGATAGGAATAAGTCTGTAACGTTGCCTGTTGTTCATTAATTGACACATAAATAATCAAAACGCTCAAAGTCCCACCATATAGACTACAATTTGTTCAAATTCTAGGAAGTCGTTGTAAATGCGTGTGCATCGGATTTATCTCAAAATTATTACTTGTTTAATTGGAGAATTAAACGAGCTTACCGTTAGGGAAGTGAAGTTTGATTGTAATTCTACGGAGTTGTAGTCTGGAACGGAGTAGTCATGTGAGAAGCGCTCAAGCCATCAGTCTTCAGTATTCAAAGCAAGTGAAGGAACACATCCTTCAATAATTACGGGAGGGATTAACAAATAGGGTTGGGCACATGACTACTCCGTTCCAGACTACAACTCGGTAGAATTACAATCAAACTTCACTTCCCTAACGGTAAGCTCGTTTAATTATCCAATTCTACCTCGTCATAGTCTGACGTCGTAGTCACGTGAGAGTTTAAAGCAGGTGTTCATGAACGTAAAAGCAGTAACAGTTACATCATTTATTTGTTTAATAACAAATGCACAATTTAAGCAAGTGTATCAACCCAGTTCTGTTAAAATATCACCAAAAAATTCTGTTTTTGTGTATTTATTGTAATATTTTGAAAATGTACTACTGTTTTTCCAACCAGCTGCTTTCATAATACAGTCTAAATATAACCCGCGTATTTTTGCACAGGATGTAATTGCAGCACGTGTACTATGCGCTTGGATTTACCAAGTACACATTTAATCCATCTACTGATTATATCTTTTGAAACACCTTTATGTGGTTTATTACAACCAACAAACAATTGAACACATTCCCCACGAAGGTTGGAAGTAATCTCAATCTATTGTTTTAAATAAGTTATTACACACAGTCTCGTATCCGGAGCATATGCTTTCAAAATAATAGGTTCCAAATGATTTCCAGGTTTGGACTGTTTAAGCAAATGATTCACGTAAAACACACATTTCGAATCTGATAATTTCATATGTTCAGTATCTAGACAATGAAGAGTTTGATACCTTTGTCCTGTAAGTAAAGCTAATAACATGACAGTTTTTTAAAGTTAAATCTCTAAGAGATTATTGTTATTATTATTATTATTGTTTGATTTATATAGCGCTTCATTACACATGAGTGTTTCTAAGCGCATTCACAACAAAACAGTTCAAAAACATTTTGGAAATAAGTATGTTTTTAAGTTAGTCTTAAAGCTCTGGATGGAAGAGGACTCTCGAAGAGTTTTTGGAAGATCATTCCACATTTTAGCTGCTCTGACGGAGAAAGCATATTCACCAGAACGCTTATTATATTTGGGGATCCTCAATATGCTACGATCACTTGAAGACCGAAGGTTGGATCGCCGGGGAATATAGAAATCAAAGAGTTCTTTTAAATAACTGGGTGCGGTGTCAGAATAAATTGATTTAAACACATTCACAAGAGCTTTAAATTGAACCCTCGCTCGAACTGGAAGCCAATAGAGTTTCTGTAACTTATCTGATATATGATCAAATTTTCGTGTTTTAGTTATAAGACGTGCAGCATTGTTTTGCGCTATTTGTAGTCTGTTTAAAGCTGTTTCTGGTGCTCCTAATAGAAGAGAATTTGCATAGTCCATGTGCGACGTTACTAATGCTCTAACAACACTCTGGCAAGCATCAGTATTAAGATTAGAGCGTATTCTCGAAGTAGATCTCATTTGATGATGCATTTTCCGTATGATAATATTGATTTGGGAAACTGGGGACATAAATTCATCAGTAACATAGCCCAGATAATTTATCACAAGGTGTCAATGATTGTAAATACATTAGAACATGGTCTACATTCCAAATTAAGGAATATTTAGGTAACGAAGGTCTCTTCTCAAACACACCTTTCATAAATTTTTTCACAATATAATGTTCTCCAAATGATTTACCATTATCAAAAGTTGTAACACAAGACAAAGCTGAACGAGCTGTATTGATACAGCTGTAGCCTAATCCTTGATCATAACGTTCAGCCAAAAAATTTACACCATCTTCTAATAACGGAGTAAAGGGATTAATTTCCCAAAACACACAATATTGTTCCCACTTCTTGAGATATGTCTGGTATTGTTTGTGCGTACTAGATCGCCAACTCACGACGATGAGTTCCGAAGCTGTCCCTGAAAATTTTCCCTCAACAAGGGCTTTCCTGATAAGTGACATGCCAGTAGCTGAAGTTTCTTGTACATTGGATGGGGTATGTCTGGTTCTTGTGGTAGGTGCAAGAGTTTCCTCCCCTTTGGTAATAACACTGGACTGTCTATCAATAATCTCAACAGCATGGGAAACCAAACCTGGGTTGCCCAGAAAGGAGATATTACAATCCCTGTAACTCTACCCCTTTCGATCTTCTGTAGAGCCTGGGTTAATACACTGAAAGGAGGAAACATATAAAAATTATCCTTCCATTCTAATGAAAATGCATCAATGGCCATTGCATTCGGGTCTGGTCCGTAAAGTTACGTATCTGTCAAATTGAGCTTTAATGCGTGATGCAAAGAGATCCATATCTGGAGAAACCTGCAGCATTTCGAGTGCACTTTGCAACAAAACACTGTTAAGTTTCCATTCTTTTTCTCGACGATCAACACGAGATTCCCTGTCAGCAATGGTATTCTTAACACCAGGGACATAAGCTGCAGACAGCCATATTCCCTGTGAAATACAGAATTCCCAAATTTCTCTTGTTAACGAATTACATAATTGAGAATGGCTAGTACCCATATGATTAATACAAGCAATGCCAGTGGTATTGTCCATCATAATTCTAACATGTTTATTGTTAAGTGTATCTTTGAAAGATTTCAAAGTAAGCAAAACTGCAAAAAGTTCTAAATAATTAATGTGGTGAGAGCTTTCATTTGGGGTCCATTTACCACCTGTATTGGAATTACAATGCACTCCCCCCCACCCTTTTTTGCTTGAATCAGTGAAAATTGTTTCCTGTGGCAAGCCATGATCAATTAAATCATATTCAATTTTTATATTGTTGATCCACCATTTTATATCCTTTTTAGATAAATCTGATAGGACCATTATTGCCTCAAAATTACCTTTGTTCATTTTTAAAGCTGCAGATTTCTCCATTTCCAAAATTCGGAAATATAAGGGGCCATACCTAGTCCCCGAAAAACTTGAAGTTATTAGACCTAAAACAACAGAAACATCTCTTATAGTATTTTTATCTGAAGACAATAATTTTTTACAAGCTAACTCAATTAAACCTTATAGGAGCTGGTGTATAATTTTGAATTGGGACCTCATCAAACGAAATATGTGTACCTTGTACAGTATCTAAAATTTCTGCATCATTAGTTAAAGGACAATATTGGTGTCAGTCATTATTACATATGTGATAGAACTGGTTAAATACATTCCAAATATAATTTTAACACAGAGATCATTGCTACGGGAGACTTGTAACAAGCACGTGAATAAACGGGAAGTGACGCCAAACATGACAAACACGAGTTGTCCTTCTATATAAATTTTAATATTTTGTGGAACTCTTGTGGTGAAAAACACCACAGACCCAAAACACTCTATCAAAATTATTCTAAGTCGAAAATTTTGTGGAATGTAATACCACACAGGCACAGAGGGGTGTCTGAGAAGAAATTTTTGAAATTTTTTTCTACGTTCAATATCTTGTGGAACTCTTGTGGTGAAAAACACCACAGACCCAAAACACTCTATCAAAATTATTCTAAGTCGAAAATTTTGTGGAATGTGGTACCACACAGGCACATAGGGAGGTATGAGAAGAAATCTTGTGGTGAAATACACCACAGACCCAAAACACTCTATGAATATTATTCTAAGTCGAAAGTCTTGTGGAATGTATTTATTTTCAGAAACCCAGTATCTTGTGGAACTCTTGTGGTGAAAAGTTCCACACAAATGCCCCCAAACTTTGCCATAGATGAAAGAAAAACAGAAACAGTCCGTGCATTACCATGTTTTTATAATATAAACAAGGGAATGTACGGACTATTTCTATTTTTCTCGTGTTCTCTTATCTAATGACATTCAATTACTTTATTGAATTGTCAGATATCCTCTTACAGTCCCGCATAACAACTTTTGGTCTTCGAAGGAATTATTAGTGAACAGAAATTCGGCCGTGTATCTGTTATCACTCGTCACATCAGTCAGTTATATAGAGGCTTTTGTCACTTCGGATTCAGGAAACCTGTATTACTCAGCTATCGTAGCAATGATCTCTGTGTTAAAATTATATTTGGAATGTGTTTAACCAGCAATATCACATATGTGATAATGACTGGCACCAATATTGTCCTTTAATACCACATTACCAAAACAAAGCATTACAATTGGAATGGACGAAACAAGCTAACATGATTGCACGGTCTGTCGTTTATTCCGTTCAATGTTGTTCTTTTTTCTATTCTATCTTTTCAAATTTTGTATTAATATTCTTGTTTTTATTTTGAATTTAAGCTGAGTGGAACAACACATTTTTCGTTGGCTGCTGTCAACTCTATAAGAAGTCAGTGTTTACGTGAGGCTAGAATGAATGTTACTCTTCGACAGGAAACCAGTCCAGACAAACCGTCAGTGTTAGAAATGGTGAAAGCTGTAGCTTGTCCTGCAGAGTGTTCTGATAGAGGTGTCTGTGTTAATGGTAAGAATATGTATGCAGTTGATTGAATTATCGTACATGGCTTCTGTAGCAAGGTATGATTTGAATGTTCAGGAATTGAATCCCCGATTATATCAGTAAGTATTATCAAATGTGATAGAAAAGCCTAACCCAACCATATCTTTTCATTAAAAGCTACGGAATTTGAAACACCCCAAAGATATCCAGTGCTTAATAGTGATATGATTTCTTGAATATGCAATAATAGGTCTTAAACTCATTAATACTAGTACTATTGAATTACTACTGTAAATCAGCGATTAGGGGAGTGGGAGGATGACGAATCAGATTATTTACAAAATATCTACACACACCATCGAATTGTTTCTACAGGAATCATGGCAGAATTGCTATTACTTTATTTGTTTTATACTCATAACTATTTTTGCATGACTAAAATGAACGCAAGTTCAAACTGATTGATTTGAATAATTTCTGAACATATACATTTTTGATTTGATATGATCTTATATTCTATATTTAACTCTTATTCTGGCACATTATCTCTTACACATGGTTTTATCATTATTCTGCATGAACAATTTATGTAATCAACAGGTACCTGTGATTGTAATGATGGTTATTCGGGACCAGATTGTTCTGTTGATCTAAATCAACCACCTCTGGTCGATAGTCTGGAAGGGAACGGGTATTGTGATCGCAAAGATGGCAGTTGTGAAGAGATTGCAGTATTTGGTGGACCTTTTGTAGAATCTGACAAATTCAAATGCCGACTGCTGCTGCTCGAGGTTCGGAGATCTATCGCAATTATACAAGACTTTATCTAATTCGGAAGTGTATTGTCTTCATCCATGTCCGTCTGTCCACACTTCGTGAACAAGGTCTACAGGTCACATCTTTGAGATTGTGCTTGGCTAGTTATAGGGAAGTTCGTAGTTGGAGACTTAATGACCCTATTACTGAAACTTTGGAAACACTTGCGTTTTTTGCTGGATATGTTTAGCTAGCCATAAGCCATCGATCGCCCACTCGGTGCGTAAGCCATCAACAATTGATGTTAACTATCTAGAGATTATAATTGTCATCAGACAAAACAGAAACCCATAGATTTTTAACAATTTCTGACATCAACTTTTTTTTAAAATTATTCTCTAGTGTACGCACTGCATCATTCTTGATTGTATCGCCAAATTCAATATTGTTTGTCTAAACTTGACATTTCACACTTGAATCACATTTTGCCGTTAAAGTTTGCTATAAAATAATATCGCTTGAAAAAAAGATCTCTTTGGTGGGTTGCAGTAAAATTCTCGAATTATTTTGGATTTTGTTTTTTATTAGAACTTGCAGCTCAGCTAAGTGACGAAAAAGCTTTAGGTGGACATATGTTACTCTGACTGACAAAATCTGCAACTAACGGGATATTCATTTTTAAGGAGCTGCTTAGTCCTAGCATTGATATTTCAGCATAGGTATATACATTATTAATATATTATTAACCCAATTTCCCTACTTTGAATCTTGTGTGAAGTAAATAAATTTATTGTCCGCTTTCAGCGAGGTGGGATCACTGACAGTAAAATTGATTTACAATTTACAAAAATGATATTACAGATTAATGTACAACAGCAAGACCCATCGGGCAGACATCTTGTTCATATGCAAATGTTCATGGATTGTTCGTTCCACCGATGTTTTGCTATTGAAATGTGCAGTAGCTAACCGTCTTCAGTGCTGATCCTGCCCCTTGTAAATTCATCACACCAATGTTTGATTACTATACGAAGGAACATTGTCCCCTAATGCCATCATGCATTTGCTTTGATTTAATCGATATTTTATTCGAAAACTTTTAGAATTAATATGCTGAATATAGGATATGATAACATTGCAGCTCCTAGCTGCATAAAAAACAGGGTCCACAAACTTTTGAAATTTTGCGTAACTCCATAACGGAAGGTACGATTTGCCGCACCAAAATGCAGAAGAAGTTTCATCTAATCGGTACAATAATTATGGACTGTATAGGGTCCATGATCATTGACATTATTAACAAAAACAAGAATTGTGGCCCTGGAGGGCTGCCCATCGCACATATTTCAAAATTATACGGAGGGGGTCATACAGTTGCGGTCCGATTCGCACCAAAACCGAATTTATCCTTCGGCCTAGGATACATAAATATATTTCATCAAAATTGGATAACAATGGTGACTTCTTGAGAGTCCACAAACGAATGTGAACGGACGTCTTGACGTCCGGAAATGCGCGACAATTAACACGTCAACGGTAAAATGTGGAAGTATAAAAATTATCTCATTCGGTCCAGTTGGTAAAATTCTGAGACATAAAAGCCGAAAGTGGCACTTTAGTGCTTGTATTCAAATTTGAAATAGCTTTATTCTTAGCCTCCACCGGGGGACTGTAAGAGTTTTGCAATCATAATATGAGCACATTAAATTTAGATATAGATAGTATCTACAATTTAGATAATAATTTAGGATTTCTTAAAGGGACACTCCCCAAATTTCATCAATGGAATATAGAAATTTATGGGTTTTTTTAACGACTACATCTTTATTTATTATGTTAACATCCGGTTTAATGTTTGGTGATATTTGCCTTTGCTCGGTAATATTATTTTTAGATCGAGCACAAAGGACAAGTAACTAACAGTGGGTATGTGTTATAATTGAAAAGAAATGAAATGGGGTTTAACGTCCCACTGTTCTGCTCTGATTAGGCTAATGACGACGGGGTATGCGTTATAAAAGCTGTAAAAGATTAAATAAAGATTACATGAGTTTTAAAACTTGATGTTTTATGAATGTCAGAAACAATAAACATAATACTAATGTATTAAAATATTCTTAAAGGCACAATAACACTCTTGCTGGCTTGACAGCTCCAGAAAATGAATAATAGCCTTATTCGAAGTACTAGATGTTTAAGTGTCCTACCTGTTGTGTAATCCAAGTCACATTTGAAAAGGTTTACGTTAGACTTTTCAAATCATTTAGTTGGATTTTTCCAATTTTTTGAATTAGGTGTGTTAAGATGAAATTTGTATCACCAATTAATTAAAATATTGTAAAATAGTACAATTTGTTGACCAGAATAAAGTTTGGGACATATTATTCAGTTACAACAAGAGTGGTATTGAGACTTTAAAGTATTAAGTTCTAGCCAAATCAAAACTAAACACGTCACTTTTTGTAGCAACGATGGGTCAAGTAACAGCTCCAAAAAGCCGTCACATGACCATTTATTACCCATAATTACAACTTAAACTAAATACCTCACCATGAATGTAAACACAATCATTGCGCACACTATCGAGTTGTAAACGACCGGTCCCAACACCCCTGACATTTAGTGTGTTCACTAGCAACTAAGTGATTTATTTCTAGGCGTAGATATTTATAACTGATTTGTATTTAATAGTCAAACGCAGAAGCAGAGATAACAAATGCTCCAGTTGTTGAAAGTATTGGTGAAGTGACGTGTCCACTACCAGTTAATAGACAAAAACGATCCGCAACTGTTCACGTTGTAGACGCAACAATACCAAGCTACAGGGTAGCTGTGTCCAATGATGGACAACTCTTCAGTCGACAGTTAACAGTGGTTATCATGAATTCTGATTGCATGAGCTGTTCGATTGATGACGCGACCGTGAAATGTAGGATTTTTGTAAGTATTCATGTCTTCATTCTCCCCACCCACAGTCTGATATCACCAGCCTGTATACAATGCACGTATCTAAATGTTTCTAGATTTCTTAATATAAAATACCTTATTTGAATGAATCAAAGGGAAGTGAAAAAAGAATGAAATGAAATGAAATGGGGTTTAACGTCCTACTGTTCTGCTCCAAACTGGGCGAATGCAGACGGGCATACGCCATACAGTGTGCTATGAGGGACATTTTGCCCGGACAGCGGCACTACGGCCTACTCTTATATCGAATTCCAACTGTCAAGGGATCTTTTACGTGCACGCCAATATGTACATGGGACCTCGGTTTTTCGTCCCATCCGAACGACTAGACAGCTTTCCTTGTGTCAGGCCCTCCGTCCTGCATCCCTGACAAGTGAGAACCACGCCGGAAAATCTGGATGAACTTTCTCGGCCAATGCAGGGATCGAACACCCGACCTCCAGGCTAGCGAACCACGGGAGTAAAAACAAATTTGCATTTGTGATTTTACTCCCAGGGGATTTCGATCAAATGGATTAAATGTGTGTTGCTTTGTAACCGAAACATCGTTTACCTGCTCACAGTTTAAATAATTAGTGAAAGAGGGGCCCACTCCACGGTCACTTAACATATTTAACAAGGTTATGGATTTGTAAAATTATAACTAAATGGATCCAGGAGCAGCCAAGAACAATATTTATCCTGTTTTATATAATTTACACTGGTTACCTGTTAAATATCGAATTGGTTTTAAGATTTTGTTACTTACTTTTAAATGTTTAAATAATTTAGCTCCTGTTTATCTCTCAGATCGTCTAGAACTTTATACACCTGGCCGAAAATAACTACTTTTAAAGCCCAAAACGGTTCAACATGTCTCTTATGGTCAGCGCCCTTTTAGTTATCAAGCACCAGTTTTATGGAATAATCTACCATTTAGTTTAAGATGTAGTACATCTCTATATTCTTTTAAAAACAACTTAAAACACATTTATTTAATCAGACGCTCTATACAATCGTTAACATGTCCATAATCTTGTTGTTTATTTATGATTACATTGTTACTTTGTAAAGTGCCCTTGAACATTTTATATGAAAGGGCGCACTATAAATATATATATGCTGTAATAACAAGAACAATATCAGAGCATTAGGAAGGACATTATCTCCCGTTCTAAATTTTTGCTTTTTGATTGATCTATTTAAAACGTGATCGGGGTGTTTAACCTGACATCAGACAAAAACTTTTATTGCGTGCGCCATCCTACATTTAAGTTGTCTGAACGTGTGGCGAGCTTGGACGCGGACAATCAACCTATTAAAACAATACAGACAGTCATTGGTAATAAATATTTCTAAATTGACTTTTCAGAATTATTTTAAACCGGATATGAATAGTCTATTAAGATTAGGGAAAACCTCAATTTAAATCTTAGACATTAATAGATTTCTATTCTAGGACGATTATTGTTATACGGAGGAACGCTGTTATAAAACTGGTGAAAGGTATATAAATAATGATGACTACCAATGTACCAACGGACAGTGGCAACTCACAAGTATGTAGAAATTTTATGATTATTTGTAATGTGCTCTTTTATGTGATGTTACTTTTAAACAGGTTGATATTCGGGTCGGAAAATCGAAGTTACATAAATACAACATGACTTATGTCAACTTCTGCTGTCCTGATCAACAGATTTTATGGTATTATTATCTTAACTTTAACTCCAACCCATAAGTATTAGTCTTGCAGGTCAAGATACATTTCGACCAGGGCCCTGTTTCACGAAAACTTAAATCTCCTTATAATCGTCTTAAACTAAAATTCCATCCTAACTTAAGATAAATCCGTTTCACAAAACGATTTTAAGCATTTTAGATAAAAACCACTAAAATAATATTTTAAGTAAACATTTTATCTTAACTTAAATTAGTGGCGTTTCACAAGACTATTTTAGGGACAATTTTATACAATTTTCAAATAATTAATAGACAAAAAAACAACAAAAAAACCTAAAAGAAACGTGAACCCACATCATATCTAATGTCATGGAAAGAACAGCACCCTTATCTATAAAAAAATATCTTCGTGTAGGCTTACAATGGTTTAAAATTGCCAATTTCTTGGTATTAGAAGGTCTACGGACCTATAATACTAGACATGCCATATGCAAAGTATTTACTCATATGGTTTTGGGGTTATGGTGATTTATAAAAAGGTAAAACAATAATCTGAAATGTTCTTATTGAAAAGTTTTATAGGCCTATTTGAAATTAAATTTTAACATCATAAATTTATTATTATTTCTTAATAAATGCTTTCGTTAATTACACAGCGTAAATTAGAGAAGTTTTATATAGAAGCCAAGTGTATTTTATATTGGGGAAAAATCATTTTAATTTAGTTAGGATAAATAGGCATTATTCAGTAAGGAGTGTGGCGCTTTGGTATTTTCAAAGTATTATTGAAAGGGTCCATGGGGCTGGCATTTCAAATCTAGGAATCGGAACATTGACTATTGGGTGTATTAGTTAAAAGTTGTTAAATATTTTTAAAATTCCACAATAATTACAGTCTAGATGAGTCGTTTGGGTCAGAAATATCACGTTTGTGTCAATTCTCAATAGTTTCGGTCATCTAAAATACCATAAAACTACGAAATTCAAGCGATTGAGTTTATCGATACGCATTATTTCCATTGAAGCCTGCGAGTAAATCAAATGCCAGGGTCACGAAAGCGACATGCAAGTTCAAGGTCAATCCACCGATACATTTCAAACCAATAATACGCAGTAAACGCATTTATTTCATCTCTCTACGACAGTCTGACCATGTGCAAACATAACCAGAACGTATGAAACTCCCCCCCCCCATTGGTATTGTAACCGTTAGTTCAACTTGGCGACAGTTTTCAGCTTCGAAGCGTTCATGCTTACACCCTAAGTGCCCTCACCGGAATTGTGCACTGCGCGGGCGCAAGCAATTTTAACTAAAATCTATTAAAATTGGATTTTAGGTTATAATCGATCTTGGTGAAACGTGTAAAATTTAAAGCAGGGTTCCCGCGGTCCTTGAAAATCCTTGAATATCCTTAAATTTAAAATTTCATTTTCAAGGTCTTGAATATCCTTGAATTTCGCGGAAATAGGAAAATATCCTTGAATTTCAGTTGAGATCCTTAATTTTGTTTCAAATTGGTAATAATAGTAAGTTGATATGAAAATCCCGTTTAGATTAGAAGTTTTATAACGATAGTTGGTTATTTTTAAGATGAAAAATTGTAACTTAAGGCTAAAAAATGTCCTTGAAAATCCTTGAATTTGACGTATATTTATCCTTGAATATCCTTGAAAAAATGTTTGACGAAGCCGCGGGAACCCTATAAAGTTTCGTTTTGATTTTAGTTAAAATCTATTTTAGTGATTTTTTGTTTAAGTTTGTGTGAAACAGGGCCCAGGGACGCACATATACATTAGTTGATATTTTGCACCCGAGTTTGCTGACCAACTGTTATGCGTTTCTGGTCAAGAAGCAAATACTTCTCGCTAGTACAAGATGTGTGCCAATCGGCTGTCATTATTTGAAAGCTATTCGGTAGTATAAACTGGGTGTCTTTGGATGACCTATTAACATTTTGAAAATGAAATGGGGGTTTAACGTCCTGCTCCGACTGGACTAATGAGCCGGGCATACACCATGTGGTGTGCTATGATAAAAATTGTGCCCATACTCTTATATCGAATTCCAACTGCCAAGGGATTTTTTACGTGCCCGCCAATGTGTACACGGGACCTCAGTTTTTCGTACACTCGAAGGACTATCCTTGTCAGGATTTACAAATGTCAAAAGGATCTGTTGACATGAAGCTGTGTTTAGTTAGAAAGTGTTGTAAAAGGTGGACGTATCATGCATTGGCCCACGTACTTCAGTCCATTCACATTTGTGTGTGGTCACAATTATCAGATGTTAATGAAACTTAAAATATGTTTATATCCCAAAGATCTCTGAGGGTTTGGCACGTATCGGACAGTAACTTTATGAATAATTGCCCCTAATAGTAAAAACAAATCGCATTGGTAGCTTGTGAACCGACCCACCCGTCTTCATTAGCCCAGCAGGAGCAGAACAGTAGGATTTTAAAAACCCCGTATCCTTTCATTTCATTTTGTGGACCGACCCTCTAGAGATCACAATATGTTTATACGATTTTGATGAAAATCGGTCCGAAACTTGCTTAATTGGGTCTACAATGTTTAATGTATAGCATGCAAATGTGTAAACTCTAAACTTAAAAAAAATAAACTATTCTAAATTGTAATATAACGTATTAACCCTTATGTACATAACTGCAAACATGTAATATTTATTTTTAGGTTCTAATGGTGGCAACACAGGCTCCAAAGTTGGCACAACTCCTAAGAGTGGTGCGGATTCTTGTTCCGCTATACAACAACTCAATTTAATAATGATACTTCTTTGTTCAGCAGCCTACATGCTTTAATATTTAATCACCGGGCAAACGACGTTATGAGTGAGGGAATATTGAAATTGCTCTCACCTAAGAAAGAAATTTCCGATTTTCATATTTTTTTGTTTTCATGGGTTTTTTTTACCTTCCAAATAACACATATTCAATAACGTTCTTGTTTATTTGTCGTTTATAACTTTCTTATGTATTTTACTTTCCAAAGTTTTCTGTGTATTTTACCTGTTAAATATACCTTTCCGCGCACAAACTGGATGATGTGATCATAGATTTGGACTAAAAACATATTCAAACTAATTAATCGATCAAAATTGTGCTTCAAATCCTTCTCAAAAGATTGTATTCGCGGGGAAATACCCCAAGCTATACAAATCTATTAAAATAAGTCATGTTTGTATCACGTGACTTGACTGTCGCGGTACCTAGCAACGGGTGCCAAGACGGAGGTTGTCTTTTATGGCTGTCCATTTATCATAAATATCGAAGCCTAATTAAATTCTCGGATTATCCACTTCCCACGCCGTGGCTTTTATCTCAGAAACTGTTGTACGGTCAAAGGACAATATTGGTGTCAGTCATTATAAAATATGTGCTAGAGCTCGTTAAATACATCCCAAATATAATTTTAACACAGAGATCATTGCTACGATAGCTGAGAAACAAGCACGTGAAGAAACAGGAAGTGACGTCAAACATGACAAACACGAGTTGTCTTTCTATATAACAGACTGAATTAACGAGCGGTAACAGACAAACGATCGAATTTCATTTCACTGATAATTCAGTTGAAGATGAAAAGTTGTTATATGAGACGATGAGAGGATATCTGACAATTCAAAAAAAGAATTGACTGTCAGTAGATAAAAGATGTCCCTTATCTAGTGACCGCCAATTCTATTTTTGAATTGTGAGATACCCTCCCACCGTCCCATATAATAACTTTTCAACTTCAACAGAATTATCAGTGAAATGAATTTCGATTGTTTGTCTGTTACCGCTCGTTACTTCAGTCTGTTATATAGAAAGACAACTCGTGTTTGTCATGTTTGACGTCACTTCCCGTTTCTTCACGTGCTTGTTTCTCAGCTATCGTAGCAATGATCTCTGTGTTAAAATTATATTTGGGATGTATTTAACGAGCTCTAGCACATATTTTAAAATGACTGACACCAATATTGTCCTTTTAGTCTCTCACCTTTTCCTAGTCTGCTCACCATTAAATTTATCAACATATACATCAAGCGGTCCTTAGCGCTGAGAGATCAGACAATCTTCGCGTGCAACCTTTGACGCCACTTGAGCAGACAGCCCTTAATCGTAAGGCTGTCAATTAGTGACACCCTCTCATTTTTGTCCTGTGCCTGCTCCATGGGTGTTGTTCAAGGAATCCAATATATTTTCCTTATATACCAAAATTGGTATACTTTTGTTGGAAATAACCACCCGATAAATACTTTTGTGGGAAAGTTTCTTTAAATATTTGATATTTTCTTGTGTATTTTACCTTTCTTGTGTATAAAAAACAAATATTTTATAACTTTCTTGTGTAAAAATAACAAATATTTTATAGCTTTCCTATATAGAAATAACAGATATTTTATCACTTTCCTGTGTATTTTACCTTTTGAATGTTAGATATTGTTCTTAAGTATTTTATAACGTTCTAATATATTTCACACGCTTAATGTTACATATATATTTTCCTCAAGCATTTTTCGTCTAAATACTTAAAGCATTATTGGTAATATGAACTGAATTTGACTCAACAAATATATTTTTTAAATTGTTATTGTAATTTCGAATCAGTTATGTTTGACGAAAAACTTCAGCAGTTCAAATAGAATGGATTTGTGCCTAATTAGTCCAGTCAACATCGGTATACGGTTGCTTCGTTTATCAAGGCGCATCATTACAAAATGCACTCGAGACCACCGAGAAAACGACTTCGCGGACCGATTTTAAATTTTTCATTGTTTCTTCAATATTGGATATCGGGAGATCTTATTTTCACTGTAAGATAAAAACATCAATATTGGTGAAAATATGTCAATTCTAATTCGGGTTTTGAATGTCGAAGACTATGGATAATTTCGGGTTGAATGTTTAGCTACGTTAAGCGCCTGTAAAGCGTGCATAAAGTCAGACTTGCTGTCTTTTATGACCATAAGGCATAACAAACACAAGTCAATCTTGTATTATTAAAATAGTGCTAGAATAACTGTGACGCTGTGAAGAAAATACCTAGTCTGTTATGTAAGGCAAGGGACCTGAGAGGACAGCTGCATAGTCGTTCGGATAATCCGTGGACGTAAAAAAAACCCTTGACGATTGGTATTCAATATAAGAGTAGGTCTTATTGCTGCTGCCTGGGCAAAATTACCCTATTAGCACACTGCATGCCGTATGTCGGTGCAGATGAAAAAGAACGCTAAACCCCGCCAGCATATTTACCCAATTTGTTTGATATTCACAATACATTTACGTTGAAGAAGTTCATGAGTAGTTAGCCGATGGTGTTAAACGTGTTAATAGATTCCCAGAACACTGTGATTTTTGTTGGATATATGCCTATATAAATAGATTTTATTATCCCTCCCCAATATTTAATGCTACACAAACTGGAGCGGGTGACAATAATTCGTAAGTGTCGTGGCCACCAACCCACACGTTACACGAGTTATACTCAGACAAAAATAATTGTACTTTATTTTTGTATTTGCAGTTGGTCTGTTTTAAAACTTTGGATGTGCCACTTCTGTGGACCCATAATTATTTTATTAAAGGGCTATCTCCAGATGTTTTAATTTTTCTGGAGTGTAAAATATATGTATATAAACTATCCTTTACTGTCAAGGTTGAATCATTAAAACAAATTCTACACATCCGAGTACAAAATACCGTGAGCTTTGTCAACTATATGGTAATTTTACTTCCATGGAAGGAGTTAAATGCGAGGTAAATGCCTTCGCCTACTCATCTGTTGGGGTAAAGATTAGTTGAATATGCAATTTCGTTCAGAAAATGTGATGGAAACGGAATGAGTTCGAAAACCCTTTGGGATAAAACAAAACTAGGTTGAAACTTCCAACTGTTTACAGGAATTATATTTTATACAGTTGTTTTTGATCATTTACCATATTTCGAGATCTGAAAGTAGAAAAATAATATAAACTGTGAGAGTTTTTTTATATATTTTATTTGTAATCTTTTAATTGTAACATTGTAATGCATCCTTAAACACGTATGTGAAATGAGGACTATATAAATTTGGTAATAATAAAATTATAATAATTTAATACAAAAAATATATTCTTGTATTTTTATGTGTTGTTTTTCTACTTTTTTTCTAGGGGAGCTACATAAAATTGAAAAGCAACATTTTTTATGCGAAAAGTGTCACGGTCGTGTGCTTTATCCTTCGTCGTCAGATGGTGGGATGGGATAGACATTCAAAGATACATTCCTGGATCCGCCCCTGAACAATATCTGGTCCTGTGTTTAGCATTATTTAATTGATAATCTTGAATATTTATCCGCTCCGCTGACGACTACCTCCATTTTACAGACCAAATTTAATTTTTATAAACACCCTTAGATCCGTCGACAAACTGGCCAGAGCGAAAATTATAATGAATATGAAAGACAAGATACATAGTACATACTTGTACAGTTTGGTGTATAGCAGCATCACCAGTACCAGGCCAATTAGGAACACAACCACAACTGCTATTGCAATATACAGCACAGTGTCTGGTCTAACTGAAATAGTAAACATATCGTTGTGACCATCTGTCCATCAAGCGAGCGGGGGTTGGGGGCGAATAGATTAATAATCATAAGCTCTGTCAAGCGGCATGGGTTCGATACCCCACTTGTACGTGAATAGATTAATGATCATAAGCTCTGTCAAGCGGCATGGGTTCGATACCCCCCTTAACCCAGCTTGTACGTGACAAGAAGTATGATCCATCGGTTTTCCCTCACAGCTAAAGACCCCTAAGCGCAAGAGAAATACTGAAATAAAATCGCACCATGTTAGTCCCGAAATGATAAAGTCAGTGTCGATTTGACGTTAAACCATCTTGTATCCAAAGTATATATTTATTCTACACTGTAGTTGCAAGAAGCACTTACCTATGTCTGAACTCCAATTCGTAGGTGATATAAAGAAAGGACCAATATTTGTTGTTGTTGTTGGCATTGGCGTTGTTGTCCTGCATCCATATGTGTCTCCTACAAAAGTAATGCACTACTGATATATATCTTAATGTCCCTAAGACAGGGACATATTAGGGGCCCAGGTGCCCCGGATTCTGGTTCCTTGCGAAACATTTGAAAAACTGAACATAATGGCGCTTTCTATAATATATTCGAAGTACAAAACCTGCTTTGCTTATCAATCCATCAACAACGACGTACATTCCGACTAAAAGCGGACCCCAAACTGCGTGAGAACACTAACTTCTTTAGGCATCTACGAGCCAACCATACTCGCGCATTCGCTATCCACCCCAGCCCTAACAGAGAGAGAGAGAAAAATGGGGTTTAACGTCCACTCGACACAAACTAGGTCATTTCGGGACTAACATATGGTTTTAATTTTATTTCAATAATTCGCTTGCGCGTAGGGGTCTTTAGCAGTGGGAGGAAATCGGAGGACCCGGAGAAAACCCACGAGATTGGACAGGCGACCCTACTCCTTGTCACGTACAACCGGGGATTCGAAACCACGCCAGTTGACTCAATGACAGGCTTTATGATACAGCACGCACGTGCTAACCATTCGGCCATCCACCCCCCCCCCCCACCAGCACAAACAGTTTCCTTATATTCCATATAAGGAAAATACATAAACATATTAATTTCAATTCATATCTGGGTCTATAACGTTATTGTGGTTGTTTTAATCATGTCAATTTCTTAACGTAAAAACACAGAAACGTTTTTCACAGATTCCTTGGCTATTGTTTATTCAAATTGAAATCTTTGGACTTTCAGTTATGAAACTTTATAAACTTATTGATCGGCATAAATAAAACGACAGGACATGGCGTAAATAATTTTCTCCAAATTGTCGATAATTGGTTGCAGAAATGATACTGACTGACGATATTATCTTATTATTTGATGATATTTGGTGGTATTTGATTAGTAAGGTGTTATTATTTACTTGTTGGGTCTAGGACAACTCCGGTTGGCCAATTGCCGTCGAGGACAACTGCCGGCAGGACAACTGTCGACCATTTTATTTGTCGTTCGTTTCTAGAGTTTATTATTTATTTTTTTTATAGTCTGTGGCCCAGATTCCAAGAACCAACAACAATATAGAAGGGTGGCACAGAGGATTTCAGGCTTCCGTTGGCGGTTGCCATGTTAATATATGGAAGTTTCTGGAGACCCTGAAGAAACATCAAGCACTACAAGAAGTAACTATTGAACAGATATTGGCTGGAGAACAACCTGTCCGGAGCGCGTACTAAACATTGTCCGTAAGTTCAACAGTCGTCATGTGTTGGACTATTTACGTAATATTCACCTGTGATCACTTTGTGTCAGTGAGTGTTATTATAGGTCGTCAGTCTATAGTAGTGAGTGCTATTATAGACAATATGTTAAGTAAACTGAACCTGTAATGAATTCTTTTAAAGATGGACTCCCTCGTACAAACTGGGTGATTTAATGGTATACATGGACCAAAAACATATTCAAACTAATTAATTTGTCATAATTATGCTTCAAATCCTTCTCAAACATTGTAATTGCGAAGACATTGCCTGTTATTAAAATTCGATCAAACCAGGTCATGTTTACGTCACGTGTTTGGAGTCAGAGGAGAATTCATTGTATACCTAAGACGATGTTGTCTTTAATCGCTTACTATTTATTACAAATATCGAATCCTAATTAAATTCTCGGATTATCCACTACCCGCGTCTTTTTCCGTCATTTTTATCTCAGAAAGTATTGTACGTCTAACTCTTCATAAAGTTTATCAACTTGTACATCAAGCGCTCAATGCTCACTAGTGACCTTTGACATCACGCGTGCAGAAGTTCCTAATCGTCGGGCTGTTGATTAGGGAAACCCTTACATTTTTGTCTGTATACGCTCCATGAGTGTTTTTCGGGGAATCCAGTATTTTTCTAGTAAGATTGGATATCTCTACTTTCCATATATACCAAAATTGCCATACTTTTATTGGAAATAACCACCCGATAAATACTTTTCTGGGAACCCATCTTTAATCGCATAGTGATAAAACCACTGACAGTTCTGTTAACGTCGTTCTTCTCTGGGAACTGACGATACTCTACCAGCATGATTCCTCTGAACAATCTAGGGCTTTGAGATAAGATGCATGATGGTGTCTACCGACTTCCATCGAGGAATGACCGACTATTGTATAGGAACATCTATCTTGATCCAGTTTTATAACTACTTAATGACTAATTAGCACCATTTAGCATCTTAAAATAGGTTTAAACACGTGGATGTGGGCTTGGTGACATATATATTGCCAAATAGTAATGGAATTTTGGATGGATAAATCACACCCCCTAATTGGCACCATATAGTTTGCAATATAATTTTTCTTCAGTTGGTTAGTATTAAATGTCCTTGCTCTACCGTATAAATTTGCGTCCAATGATGATCCAGCAACACTTGATATTCTGTAATGAATATGTCAAGTAAGATGCCAGACAGCAACGTAATTTTGGATGGAATTTGCAAACAATTAAAGACCCTTGGGTAATTACAGTAGCGCCGTCCAATTTACCACCGCGCTAAATTTACTTAATACTTGTGGTTATTTGGGGCCATTCTCGCTACATCTCAAACATTTTGTAACTTTACAGGGATTGTCGACATGTCTTCCCACAATAGGATCGCTAGGTTTATTAACTGTAATGTTATCCATAAAACTATCTGTTTATTATATTGACGTCAAAAAAGTAGGGGATATTCAGAAACAATGCAAAACTGCGGAAATGCACTGCTGTTTTTGTTAGAGGTAACCAGTGTATGTTAATAACAGGCCAATTGCCTACACATCAACATAAACAGTTCATGTGGGCGGCTTATCTGACGACCCCATTTCACTCGCAAGGAGATACGCTGTTCAAAGTGAAAATGGACGTTTTGATTTTTGTCTTAATAATGAGTAATACGTGCTCCACCAATCCTCAGACATTCAGAAATTCGTCGTGGCATGCTCCTAATCAACCGTTCAATCACGATTTGGGGCAATCTGACCCACTCCTCTTGCAGTGTCACGGCCAATTCTTGCAGGGTTGACGTTGACGAACACGTCTCCCGATCAAATTAAACGTAACACACTAAAGCAAAGATCCGCTAAACAATAAATCTTATGCAAGAACCGATAGGAAAGCAAACATGGATAGGATAAATCAGCAAGCGGCAGTTTTCATCAACCCTTCCTTGAAGTGTCAAATTTGACAACGAACCCCTCCCACGTGTATGGCGCTATTGCATGTCGCACATGCAGCTCGGTGGTTCTGTTGGGGCGATAAGTTCTTCATCTGTGAACATACTCTCAAAACATGTCAAGTGTCCATGACTATTTATCATATCACAACCTGCATAGGTATTTGCATTTCAATATCCCCTACTTTTTTAAAGAGTATATATCGCTTTCACTAAATGCCTTTCAAAGACACTAGTTCATTTAATTGTTAGTGATTTCTGTATTGATAAAACAATTCCAACAATGGAATATTTTAGTGAAAACATTCAGCATGTTTCAATCCTAATCAAGACATACACCACATAGTTATAATTTGAAATAGAATTTTTTAACTTTTATAAATCGATAAAGATTAACAGTGAATTGTCGCACATGGAATCGTAACTAGTTCCCGCCACGTTGAGAAACACCCAGGAAAAATTCTGGAAAACAACGGGATCAGACATCCTATAAGCCAGATACTAAATGAGGTATCAAAACTCCCGATCACATTAAAATATAGCGCATAGACCGCATTACATTCTAGACGAACACCTGTTAAAATCTGTTGTCCATTCCATAACGATCCACCTATTTCCCGTATATTCTGAATTAAGAGACGATTTAAGGAAAAGATGTATGCGAGTGTTACTAAAAGGGGACCAACTCTTTGATGTTATCTTGCGCCCTTATTTCTAGAAGATACAATGAACACCATTTACCTGTAACTCCCGTGTCTGTAACTTGGGCTTCTGTAGAAAGTGAAGTTGGTACCTGGGTTGTTGGCTGTTGACAGCCTTCAGTATCACCTTGTAAAACAATTATAAGTTTTTAGACAATTGTTATGGATTACGTTCAGTTAGGTAGAATGGACATTGGTGAATTAGATGTCCCTAGTGATTTAATTAATCTATTAACCATATAAAGCGCCGTTTCCTAAACAAATCTCAGAGAATATATAATAATCATCACCGTACCAAAACAATATCGCTCGTTGCATCCTTTAGCTTTTACCAGGTAGTAAGCCATAAAATCTTGACAATTCTTGATCCTTATTTGGAAGGAGGCGTAGCAGGTCGAGGAGTAATAAGTTACACATGCAATGCGGCTAACAATACCATCTGATAAACTTGGATGATCTCCTATAAATATAAAGATATATAACAAACTAGAATCTGGCAGACATGGATGGTTTGCTTTACACATTGACAAATATTACAATACAACCTTGGTATTGTAAATATTTATCTAATGACCTCAAATTCGCAACTAAAAGCAATTCTATGTAGATCTGAAATCTTTCTATAGTACAGTAATTTTCTATGAAGAAAGTGATTTTATCTCCAACTAACAGAATGCCCGGCTTCGCTCGGTTGTCATAACTCCGATACCGGAAGTGGTAGACTAACGCCACCTGGCCTATGTTACTCCCCGGGCCGAGCTACCCCTATACCCCAAATTTCAGACTCGGGGCAGACCTAGTGTAGCCGCCAACCCCGAACAGACAGACAGACAGACAAACAAACGACAGTCACAAATATTAATATAGATAAATGATTTTGGAATGATGATTTTAGAAATTTGTGATTATCGCCCCTTATATATGTATAATGATCTTACCATTTAACCATATAGGATACTTGGTACCACAACTATTTACTGGTACAGGAGAAGTGGGCATGGTGAGATTTTGACCAGATTCTGATTGAACACGATACCATCCTGGTTCCATATATCTGTCACATTTATCATAATTTACATTACAATTAATACTTCTATCATCTCCATCAGTCCATATAAATGATGTTAAACACGGGTCTGGATCACCTGAAATTACGAAACCGGTCAATTAATTTTGATTCGTAGAACAACCTGTGGAAGTAGGGGGTTGCTATTTTCTGGTTGAATCAAGTATACAATGTGTGCAATGCTTGAAGTGAGGTATAACTGCCTTAAGGAAACACAGTGCCTGCAAAAGGAGGTCTAAAACTGAAGTTTTAATAGATAGTTTACTTTGATTCTGTCGAGTTCAAAAATAGGGAGGGAAAAGAAGTGAAACCATATGGCTGATATAGGTCAATAAGAAACCTTACAATTCCGTTCATTTCATTTCATAACGTATACTAGATACAACATCTCATCTAAACCCAGAGCTGTAATCAAATACAGGTGTTGGGATACTTTTGTCTGTATGTTTATAAGGAAAATGAGTATTTAAAAATTGTTTGTGCGTCAAGGCTTTAAAGCTATAAAATATAACCGAATAGGAGCACTCCCTTGAAAGAGTAACTAAAGCTGGACAGGCTGGTAGATCTGTGTTGATACTGGATCAGGAAAATGATACCGGCGGGGCAGGAGAGCATGATATAAATTTAAGATTCCCCGCACAACAGATTAAGTTTAGTGTAGAGATTTTTTTAATGATATAATGTTTCTGGTAATCAGTATCCCTGTTCAAAAAGTTATATCCTTTAGCTATTTGTTTACAGGAAACTCTTTTGAGGAACTCTGACACTTTGTCTTTTGGACAGTTTGTTAGTTATCAATACTCAAGTAATTATGGCAGAGCTGATGGGGGTGTTTCTATTATTCTTAATGGAGATACCCCTCAGAGTCGAGTCACTCTCAACTCGGCTTTACAGGCAGTTGTAGTTAGGGTGACGTAGCATATTCCTATAACACTCTGCTCTGTATGTCTTCCACCAAGTTTACATCTTAATCCCAGAGTTCTTGAGTACCTTTTTGCACAACTTCCTCTCCCGTTTATAATTATGGGAGATTTCAATTGCCATCATTCACTCTGGGGTAGTCCCGATGATAACGATAGGGGTAATCAAATAGCGGACTTTTTGTGTTTATTAAATGACGACTCGCCTACTTATCTAGATCCTGCCACAGCTTCTTTTTCTTCCCTCGACCTTACCATTTGCTCTCCGGTTTCAGGATTTCTCATGGACAGTAAATGTAGATCTGTGTGGCAGAGACCATTTTCCTATCTTGATAGATAATGGTCCATCTCCGGTAGAAGGACACCAGAAGTGGAAGTTGCCCAACTTAAGGCAAGTCCCGCAATTATGAATGTTACAATGAAAATTTTTCTCTTGCAGAGCCCCGGGACACTGCAGCTGGTCCAGATAAAATACACTACCAAATTCTAAAACATTTACCTTTTCCAACACTCTTAATATTATTGGATCTTTTTAACCGGATTTTGGGTTGATGGGGGTTTCCCTGATCTTAACATACCTTTTGATTCTTACATCAGTAACCACTTCGATGTTACAATTTTCAGAAATTTGGACATAGCAAAGCCGCCCGTCGAGGTAAGGACACCTGCGCTCGCTGTGGTCATGATGGCTATGCGAACGCTACCTGTCCGGCGGATTTGTTTTGTATCAATTTGTTTAATCTCGCGAATGTCCGATATGGCAAAAAGAAAAAAAAAGAATTAAACATGTAATGTCTGAGCGGAAAATACTATTTTATGATGCCCGAAAGTAAGTGGACTTAACTGCGCTCTTTCCCGTTCCATCGTAAGAGAAATCTTTTGCAGGCGCAGAAAAGGTACCTACCATCTCTGGCCAAATAAAGGGAAAGTGTCTTTCATATCATTAGATCATGATAAAGGGGTATCGAGCTCCTTTTAAACAAATGAGAGGTCGATCGAAACTATTAGTTCTTTGACTGGCGAGGGTTCATCTTTCTTGCCTCAGTCTGAAGTTGTTGGGATCATTCCTAACACTTCCTCCCAGAACGGCAAGGGGTCATCTCCCTCGCCCACCCTTGAAGCTGCCATCCTTGATTCCACTTCTACTGGACCAGGATCGCAGTCAAAGGGTAATACTTCATCAAAGAAAGAAAAATTAGTAAAGTTTCGAGAGGGAGGGCAAAAGGGTTCAAAAGACCCCGCCCCTCTCTATAATAGAATGGGGATGATCTGATGGACGATATTACCGTAGTGGATGTCCATACGGACCCACATAGTAAGCCGTCAAAAAATAAAATTCTCTGACTATGTTAAATTACATTATTCAATGGAATTGTCGTGGTTTAAAACCGATGAGATCCTTGCGCTTCCAGTTCGCTGCTAACTCGCATGACGTCACGCGAGAGGTGTGAACTTGCCGTGAAGTGCATAAAGTAACCACTGGCTGCAAGTACAGAACATTTCGTCTGGTGACTTTATGCGGTCTATAAGCGATCTAAGCCTAGGAAATATATCTAAACTAATACATACTTTAGGTCTTAGTACACAACTAAGATGCTTTGTATACAAATATACCTATAGGATTATATTAGGAAGTTATTAAAAATTAGTTTATCATCTACGAGTATAATATAAAAACGAGTTACGTTCCTATGGAAGCGTTTAGAGGTCATGCAAAATTTTGTAGAAGGTCTCGAGATCAGGTGATCCCGTGATACTTTCTGAAAATCCCACGATCACCTGGTAGTTGTCGTGAGATCTTACTTTAATATATGATACAGTCCCCAGATCTACAGTTTTCTCGAAACCTTATGATAGTGTCTCCACGTTGTGAGACATCCATTGGTCTTATAATTTACGCCAAATTTTAAAAAAAAACAAATACCTAAACCAGTAGCTACCAGGCAAGATACGCCCACGTGTTGCAAAAGATGGGTAGAGACGCGCTAAAAAAGCAATTTTTCGAACAATGAAGGGTCTAATTATCGAGTCCCCAGTTCAACTTTTATAATCTTTAACTAAGGCATTCTTTGGGTACATGTAATCAAAAGGTATCTTTGGTTGGTCAGCATTAACCAACAATCTGATTAAAATACAGATCTATATTTCGTTTCGTTTTTTATACTTTCGATGGCCCACACTACATGAAGATCTGACAAGTTATAGCGATAGGTCACGTCAGGGGTCAAAAGATCGACTTATGACCCTATGATGTCAGACATTTGATTAACCAATCAGCATTGGTGTTACTAGTGGATTACCCACAGTTCCGTGCAAAACATGCCTAAAGCTCGCCGTTAAATAACAACTCTTCCAGATCCAAGACAAGTAAAACGAAATTTTGAACTATAAAAACGAAACAAAATAGGATGTGTGTTTTAACCAGATTGCATTACCCAAGTATGTTGTGTACATGTATGTATATATTGTCTTGTTGTATTTTCATATTTTATCATTGCTTGATAATGACTAGAGAAGCCTAGTCGAAACGTTGCTCATTAATAAGCAGTAGTTGTATTCCATTGTGACCTGTTTATGCTAACTAATAAACGGACAATCGATAGGGTTCATCCATTCTCTTGTGGTCCCTAAATTCTAAATATGATTAACATCGACAGGGTTTATCGTCTTATGGCCCAAATGCTACACACCAAATTTGAAAATCAAAATTACAGACGTGCTTGCTAGACTTTTTAAATTTAATCCGTGGGCGACGTAATTATTGAAATTGTCATTTTCTGCATGGTTTTCAGACCATATTTCTTTTAGAATAGAGCTAGACACATGCTTCGCGGCAGATATTACAACGAAGCTCTGGGCACTACAAGGTTTACGGGAAAATAGGAATAACGCCATAACAAAGAGTCGGGGAGCGGCGCTGCAAATCAATAAGGTTCATTCTCTAGTGACAACAATCCTTTCAATAATGTAGATTCTATCCCACGGAACGCCGAAAATAAATTTGTTATATCTCTGTGACAAAAAAAACCCTTACATTGCTGAATATCAACAGGGTCATCCTTGTCGCGGAGCACTGCATATCGAAAATCCGTTAAAAATGTAAGTGTCTATCGCGTTAAGAAGGTTTTCAAAGAATGGAGAGTAACTCCGGAACGGAAGATCACTGGGCACTGAATTGAGTTGATAACCCCAATGCTTCACACAAAATTTAAAAAGAGAGGTGGGGAGAGAGTATACTAACGAACAGGTCCTCATATCGTCCAATATTTGACAAAATATGGACAAAGAGGGTAACTCTGGAACAGAAGTTTGCGGAGGGCCCAGTGCTTCACACTACATTTGAAAACAAAATCAGTTAAAACCATAGCCACTATCTAACGCGCGTTAACAAGGTGTTTTGAAAAGTTGTGTGTGTGTGCAGATTGGGGGAGAGGGTAACTCCAGAATGATAAGATGCACTGAAACCCGATAGGGGCCGTCCTCTCATCACCCCAATGCTTCATACCAAATTTGAAACAAATCCGTTAAAAACTGCTGGCTCTATCATGCCATTAAGGTTTTCGGGAAAGGGGGGGATAAACTCCGAAACGTCAGGTCGTAAAGAGCCGAGAATACGTTAAGATTTACGTGCACGCATAAAAATACTCGAGATCTCGAGAAAATTTACTCAGTATAGCAAGATTCCGAGAACATTAACTCGAATTCTCGAGATCGTAAACACAGGATGGGAGATTCTCGGGAAATTTATTAGGTCAATTGAGATCTCGAGGTCTACAAAATTTTGAATAACCCCTATACGCTCCTGTAATGTTCATTCTCACAAATCATATGGAATTATTTTAATACTGTTTTAGATCTCCGTGATATAAAGATAAATAAAAAAACATGTAATTATCTTAAGTTCTGTCGAGCTAACTTACGAAACGAAAAACTAAATATAAATAAATATGAACGCTTCTTAATAGAACATGCTTCTGTCGAGCTAACTTACGAAACGAAAAACTAAATATACTATTCAAAAAAAGTAGGGGATATTTGATTTTTAAGTGTTATTAAAGTCACCTAATGAAACTGACGAAGAAACAAATGACAAAATGAAATGAAGTTCACATTCATCGATTTATTCCAAATGATCGTTAGACTAAGTAAGGCACAGACT